ATGGTTTTATCATAATGTGTAATTTATAAATGTACGAAATATAATAAAATAATAGTTGAAAAAGTCAATGAATTTTAAGCATTACTGAACATTTCATTACTCATAGATTAATACAATCGTTTGTTATCTAAATAACAAAAATCCTCTCTTAGATGACGTTTGGATAACTATTAATAAATTCACCTAGTTAAGATAATATTAATTTTATCTAAATTAAAAAATCTAGATGATTATCCAGATTTGTCCAACTTAAATCTATAAATAGATAAAAAGAAGTTTGGGTATATTATTTTGAGCGGAGCGAAAAATTTGTTTTATCTTTGGAACTTAAACATTCCCAAGTTCAAAACACTACTTACACCTATGAATAACTAGGAATAAAAATAATTATACGTATTATTTATTTATTTAAAACTATTTCAATATAATTCAATCCATAGTATAAAGCTAAATTCAATCGTCACGAATCCTCAATTCTTTTTTATATTCAGCTATCTTATATTTTTATTCAGTTATTTGTAAATCCCGTTCTTATTGAAAAAAAACATCAGAATTAAATATAAGTGAACTCTGTAAGAATGAACGTTCTATAGAAAATTTTTACTTAAAAAAAATTTATTTTATTGTTTTATTTTTGTAGTTGGAACACACAAATGATATGTCATTATCCTAATCTGATTTCTTGTAAAATTTACTTATTTTTGAATAGGTAAAGTTACATAATTATATACAGATCTCAAATGTTGTTAGAAATGAATTATAGTGGACGTGTAGCACTCATCGACAATACATTTAAATTTGTTTTTTGGAAGCTTAATTACTACTAAACATACACGATTACTCATTGATGTATAATGTGTGGTAAATGTAAACTAGTATGTTAATATTTATTGTCTTTTTATCATTTTGAATTTTGCCTATAAGTGTTAGCAGAAATCAGCGTTTATTTATATATAATTAAGCACACGAAAAATGTTATTACAAGAGATTAGACTTCATTAACCGTCATTAATTAAGACTCGGTAATCTAAATGCGTTTTATTAATTCATCGAATATTTGAAATTAATATCTCATGTATTGTTTTGCATATTACTCATCAATGACCAAAACTAGCGAGCTTCAATTTGATTGTACTTGAAACTTGTAAACAGTTTCTATTATGACAGCTATTGTTATCAAAATAAGAGACTAATATCAATTAAAATGTGAAGCTCAATAGTCTCAACCGATCGCGTGTCAATTAGATCAAAAGCAGTATGAGTGAAATTATTTACTTTCACGTAAAAAGTAAAAACTCATTGGCAGACATGTTTGTTTTTTTACTGGCGTTCCATAGACCGATTTCAAGTGCTCAACTACGTACTGTGTAGTCGGCTCACTGTTTACAAACGAACAGGACATACACGACTCAAGTCCCCACCAATACACCGACTTACTCGATGATAATAACGCAATATTAACACCAGTACAGTTGTCCTACCATTTGATTCGCTTTCGGCAATAGTCTTACTAACGTGATCCGTCTGCCAGAGCTTACGAGCCGACCGACAATTTTTCGTTGCGTCGTCAACTGATGTCGCGTTACGTACACACCGGCACCTCCACGCGCATTTTAGCTCCTCCGTTTAGTAACCGTTTGCGTTTCCGACATAACGCTAGTCGGCCCTCAGCACCGGTACGTTCGGGTAAATATCTACAGACCATTCTTGTACAGAGTTAATATCATCCCCCTCTCGTATCAACGCCGGTATCTGGTGACCCTGACAAAGGCCGCCCGGTCGTATCGATTATTTAGTCGCCTGCCGCAACCCCCACCCCAACGTGGCGTTTTGACGGTCATTCGACCAAGGGACGGGAACGTACGGGGTCAAGTGTGCAGCAGCCGAACCGACATTCTGCTAGTCGAGTGCTGCGCGCGCGCACGGCTGTGTAGTGGTGTTTTTATTATATTATCAACAGACGGTGCGAAACGACAAAAACAACAACACGGCGAGAGCTGTAGAACAGCGATTGTATTAGTTGTGTTCCGTTGTTTGTGCGAATATTAGTGAACGTGAAAAAAAAAAACTCTTCCGAGGAAATTCGTGTTTCGCGTACGCTTTCTCTTTTTTATTTCTGCGTCTTGGCTACCTCATTTCGAACTGATTATGATTCGAATGTACTGATAATGACCACTGGAAAACAAAACAATAAGAGAACGTGTGTGTATACGCAACAGAAAACAACATTGTCTACGAGACCTTGACCTTGAGACGTTCGTTCAGTAGACCAGTGTCGCCGCTGTTGTGTAGTAGACAGCATTACCATCCCTTACAGGGAAATCATGGTTAATTTCTAAAAATATTTGACAGTTTTTTCTATTGGTGAGCTCTTTAAATATTATTGATATTCAGTTTAAGCATATATAACTTCACTCTCTATACCTTTTTGATTGTTATTGTTTTTACAAAACAAATAAATATTTACTGCATTTTCAACTTCTTCATTATTTTCTAATTTATTTCTAATATACTAATTTTTCAATTATTTGATACATTTTTAATTTCCGTTGATTACTATAGAAGTATTATCTCATTAATACATTGTAGACAATCCATAAAATTGAACAAAAATATTCTAGTTTAAATAATGATTATTTGAAAGAAATGTTTTACTAATTAAAAGAAAAAATATTAACCCCATTAAATATTCAAGTGTTTTTATAAATAAAAAATTTTAATTACTATGCAGTATAAATTGGGTATTCGGAGTGTGTCATATTCAGTGATTCTTACTGATTCTGGATCCTGATATATTAATCTCCATTTATGGTAAAACATGTGAAACTCATATAACTTGTATAACTGTTAATAATTTATCATTAAAAAAAAAAAAAATGGTCAAGTTCCATATAAGATAATAGTTTTTGTACTTTTAATATTTTAGGGATGTGTAAATATTAAGTTTTATGAACTTAAGACTATTGTAGTCAATGAATTATTATGCCTAGAGTAGTGAAACAAAGAACTTGAGATCCATTGGGACCAGTCATAAATAAAGGCCCTTTTATAAAATCCTTTTCATTATACACTTTTTTGTGTCATGGTTATATTTTTATATGTTATAAATATAAATGTGTTTTTAACATCAAGAATTTATATATTATCTAATTAAATTTAGACTCGTTTAGATACATAATTAATGACAAGATTTATATTTTATTGAACAAATTTTAGACCAAGCATGTAATCAAAAAATTTTTACTGGAAGGTTTAACAATTTTAGTCCCTTTATGATGTATGAATTGCTTTCATGAAACATTTGTGAAGATTACTTTATACACTACCTTTGGTGGGTGGTATTGATAAAATACCAGTATAAATCTTACTAAACTTGATTTTTTTCCGTTGTGATCAAAACCTAAAACGTTTCGTTTCTTATACAAAAATAATTATATTTTGCAATTGAACTATTTTCTTGTAGCTTCAGCTATTTGATGTAATCTAGTATATTGTTTTCTTTAGTAGTTACAGTATTATGTGTTATGGCCAAGAGCATCTACAGAAATTTTTCATGGGGAGCAAAATATTTTTTTTTAGCGTTTGTTCAACAGACCCAATGTTGATTAAATGGGGGTGATATGGGTTCTTGGCCAGGGAACCATGCCTTTTTAGGGGGGCCTTACTATAGGTACAAAAAGAATGATTTTAGCTCCCTCAGTTAACGAATCAGTTTCCAAAAAAATTATGTATGTTGTCATATATATATATATATACACATAAATATATAGTGTTTTTAAAGAGATAATTGTTAAAAGTGTTATTCTAATAGGCACCTATGGCCTCGCAGAAAAAAAGTTATAAATATAATATAGTTTAATAAAAATAAAATTTTTTTTTTAAATTTAAAAACATTGTAAAATACACAATTATAAAAATTGACCAACAAAAAAATGAATGGAGACAACTGCCTATTTTTCTTCCATGATTATATTTTAATAAAGGTGTAAAATATAATTTCATGAAATAAGTTTATTGGGACATTAAAGAAATTTTAAAATAAATAGTTTAAAAAAAGAAATGTTATTTAATATTAAGATGTGTTAACTAAGTATCTAGTTAATTTGTATAAATTTTTTTTTTAATTGATTAAAAATTTAATTTGTTTATACTTTTTTGCTTAGCCAATTCTTAATATTTGGTTATAATTATATAAACTCAATACTTATTCGAGGGTGGATCGAGACATGATGGCTTAGTTTCCAGAGTACTTCTCCAGAAATTTGAAATTTTTTTCTAAAATTACATAGTGATGATACAATTATTTTTTTTCTAGAGGATAATGATAAATTCTTATTATATTCCTTTCCTCCAAGATAAAATACTATTTTCAGTTATAAATTAGATTTTGTCTAGGTGTAACTTTATTAAATATTCAATTAATACGTCAAAAAACTGTTCAATAATTTATTTTTACTTAGTACATTAATAAATATACTCTTAAAATTTTTTTTTTTTTATTGGTTATTGGAAAAGTGCAGTTATCTATAGAACTCAAAAATTCAATTTAAATAAAGTTACGTGTCTTATATAAACTATCTAGACCCCATGATGTACTAGAATGATTATGATATACTATAAGTAGTGTAGAGTGTTTTGGATAGTATGTATATCCATACATTTTTATAAAATATTCATTGAATTGCTCTTGTGCAAATTATGCTTATATATTTGTTGTAATTTGTTAATTTTATATTTTAAGAAATCACTTATATATTTATGATGTTTTTTTTTCATATAACATGATATTTACAAACAAAGATAGTATTTTTGAGATTCATTGTCAAAGTTACATTATAAGTTATGTTTATTAATATTATATGTAATGTTGTAAATCAAAATAATATTAAAGAAATTTACAAAATTAAATCAAATATGCAAGACTTAATTTGTTAGTTATATGTTACATTTATTTATTTATTTTAAGAAAAAATTAGAATTAACAAAAATAAACTACAAGATTTAAAATCTCATTGACATAGTTTTATATTATGTTAAATTATAATAGTTAATAAAGACTAACAAATAATTTTCTGTTCAATTACCAGTCTACAGGTTGTAATTTGATAAATTTTGATAAAATGTAAACAACTATTAATGTAAATGTTACAAAACATATCACAAATAAATACCAGGATTCTTCATCAAATACGTCAGTGAAAGCGGGCAGTTGATTATAGAAATTATTGATAATGGTTGTAGTATAATGTTCTTTCTTTGCCATTTTTTATTTAACGTTTTTTCTTATCTGCTTTTGTAACTGCAGTATCTACTACTTCTTCCTGGGGGGCTAGTGGTGTAATATGTTTATTAAACTGTTGTAATATCTCTAAAGTTGTTAAGTTATTACACTTGAATAAAATAGATTCACCATTAGCTAAAAATTAAGTTTTTTTAGGTTTTAAAATTCAAAATAATTTTAACAGTTATATTGGTTTGTGTGTGTTAGATGCCATAATAATATCTTACTTAAAGTTACATCGATTGTTGGTTCACTTCGATCATTTACAACTTGATTTCTAACTATGCATGAAGGATTTGTATTGATTACTTTAGGTGACAAAAAGTAGTACATAAAATTTCTGTAAGAATTCACAATTTTAAATGAAATGTAAAATTTACTAAATCAAGAATTTTTTTCAGGTGACTAGATTCTAATAAGTAAATACTATGGAAGCAAATCCTAATTTTATAGTACCTCCAGATTTATGTCAAGAACCAATTACTTACAAATCTGTTTACGAAAATATAAATGGGCATTGCAATGGAAATAAATGTAAGTAATAATAATATATATAAAAAAATTAAAATTCTTTAAATATAAGAGAACTAAGATGTACAGAGAAAAATTAAATAGCTAATTATAAAATATAAAAAATTTAATATGGATTATTTTATAAAAAAAATAAATCTCCCAATTTTATTTAGTAAATGTATTAAACTGATTGTTGGTTTTGTATTTACCTGACAGTAACTGCATTTTGACTAAAAGGATCAAATTTGACAGACACCTTTTTTATTGGTTTGAGATTTAATAGAAGAGTTTGTTTCCTAATTGCGCTTACAACGCCAGCAGACTTAGATTTTGAACCAGAAAAAGCTAAAGACATAGTAACAACATGAATAAAGTAATGTTTTTCTGGAAACTAATCAATAAAATCACCCGTCCAACATAAAATTTGCCCTAAACCGTAACCGCTACTGAGTTATATCAATAATATATTACTTTGGTATTTGGTTGTGTTATTACGACTTACCATTAATTTTTAGTAACTCCAGTTGTGGTAACTGATGTTTACCAACGTTGCGGTAGCTATCCGCCATTTGCATCGATAGAATAAACGAGAAAAAAATTAGTTGGGCAACACTGGTCGCGGGGTTTGGATCTACGTGTTGTTGTTGTGGTTGTTTAATTTTAATCAGCCTTTGGGCATTTATTTTTTAATTTCCAAAAAATGTATTCGAAAAGTTGATCTATTATCTAACACCGTCGTTGAAACGGATCATATTTAGAAATAAGTACGCAAATAGGCCAAGACGGAATCAATTATGTATCCCGTTGGGCAACGTGAGTACACGAACTATGCTTTAAAGCTTTATATTTGATCAACAGAGGCAATGACCTCCATTCCTAGAATATCGGTTTGATCATTATCAATTTACATGAAAGTTTGTTTCTAAAGTCTTAAAGTCCTTTTATAATGAAAAATTATTTTAAATTAGATAAAAATAATTTTGACTGTTCAACATTTTTTTAAAGATTTCATAAATGTGACTGGAATTGACTATTTTCCATGATGCCGCGCTGACATTTATGCCGATAGGAACTCGGAATTATAATTTATTTTATAATATGTTAAGTCTGTATTTAACACAACATATTAGTATATTCAAAGATTAAAACCTCTCTGAGTTTGTGTAATTTTTTTATAATTTTCTTAGTTCATGTGGAAATTAACTATTAACTAGATAATTAATTCTTCATTATATGTTTTATTTTTCAGTACTACACTGATCCATTTTGTGTCATTGTTATAAAAATGTATAAATTATGATTATTATTCTAAATCTTTGTCAATTTTTTTAATTTAAAAGTCCTACTTTTTATAGGCTTTATTGTATGTGTTATATGTTATGAATCTGGACTTCAGTCTAGTTTTTCTATATCTATTTTCTTGTCTAATATCTATCTATACATACTTTCTTAATGTAATAATTTATGTTAATTGTATAATTCAAGTATTTTTCATGCTTAATAAGTCCTTAATAAATCGATAATTATGTAACTATTATACTGAGTGTTCAGTAAGTAAGGAAACAGGTAAATTGTTATAAACAATAAGAACAATAGAAACCATTTTCCTTACTTCCTGAACACCTATATAAGCTAAACCCAAATCTTGAGTTACTTTTATTATAACAAGTCCAAGATTTTATTTAAAAACTAAAATTACTTGACTGAGTTGTCTATAGATCATTTATTTTTAATTAATGAGTTATAATATTGAATCATATAATAATATAATCTTCTTCTTCTTCCTCCTCGCTTAATCCCAACTTCTTGGGGTCGGCCACATATAATAATATAATGATATAAAAAATTAATGAAAGTTATTTTGTGTTAGAAAATAAATATTTTAATTTGTTCTACTATAAAATTTTGTTTTTGAAACTTCTAATTTTCGATCCCTTTCTCATTAATATATAGTTTATTGGTTGTATTTTATATTGTAGTTTAATGGGAAAATAAGTTTTATATTTATTGTTCCAAATAAACTCTTTGTAAAATTAAATCATTATATTAATTTTCACTAATAAATTTTTTTTTTTTGTTAAGGTTTAAAATTAAACAAAAAAAAACAAATCAATTATAATTGATTTTATAATTCTATAAAATTGTTATTTCAATGATATAAATGTTTCTTAACCTTATTTTTACATATGTTATCACAATATATTGTACCTTTTTGATAAATAGTATTTATATATATTCATTTCTATTTTATAGCACCGGCTCCTCCTGTGGCTGCACCAGTACCAGTAGGTGTTCCTGGAGCAATGGGAATTCAACCTCAAGCTCCTGCTTTACAACCTCAATTAGTTGATGTACCAGGTGAAGTAAACACATTTAATTAGTAGTTTTCCTCTAACCTAACAACTTTCATAGACTAATTTATTATCATTTTAAAATTTTATCCTTTATGTTAATTTTTTATTAACATAAAGTGATTGTTATATGTAATAGTGTTAAAATTTTTATAGTTTTTAATTGTCCCCGTCGTCCTAATTTGGGACGGGAAGGACGCCCTATTGTACTACGAGCTAATCATTTCCAAATATCGATGCCCCGTGGCTATGTACATCATTATGATATTAATATTCAACCTGATAAGTGCCCACGAAAAGTGAACCGTGAAATTATTGAAACAATGGTTCATGCTTACAGCAAACTTTTTGGTAACTTAAGACCAGTGTTTGATGGACGCAATAATTTATATACTAGAGATCCTTTACCTATAGGAAATGATCGAATGGAGTTAGAAGTATGTAACATAAGATTTAAATAACCTTAGTTCAATAAAATAATTTATATATATAATTTATTGTAAGGTTACTTTACCTGGTGAAGGCAAAGATAGGGTTTTTCGTGTTAATATAAAATGGTTAGCTCAAGTGTCTTTATTTGCATTAGAAGAAGCTCTTGAAGGTCGTACTAGACAAATACCTTATGATGCTATTTTAGTAAGTTAAAATATTATTTGATATTGAAAAATAGCATGCTTTAATTCATTTTATTTTTATAAATGATTAGGCTTTAGATGTTGTTATGAGACATCTACCTTCAATGACTTATACTCCAGTGGGTCGATCATTTTTTTCTTCACCAGAAGGTTACTATCATCCATTAGGTGGTGGTAGAGAAGTTTGGTTTGGTTTTCACCAGTCAGTTCGGCCTTCACAATGGAAAATGATGCTTAATATTGATGGTAATCCTGTGATATGAACTTTCAATGAAAAATATCTGCTATATTTAAAGTTAAATTAAATTTTTAGTTTCTGCAACTGCCTTTTATAAAGCACAGCCAGTAATTGAGTTTATGTGTGAAGTTTTGGATATAAGAGATATTGGAGAGCAACGAAAACCATTAACTGATTCTCAAAGAGTCAAATTTACAAAAGAAATTAAGGGATTAAAAATTGAAATTACCCACTGTGGTGCAATGCGCAGAAAATACAGAGTATGCAATGTTACCAGGAGACCTGCTCAAATGCAATCGTAAGAGAGTAAAATAAATTAATGATTTAAAAATACTAATTTATTTGTTTAAATCTACTTTTAGTTTAAAATTTAAGTTTAAAATATTTAAAATCAATTTTTAGTTTTCCCTTACAATTAGAAAATGGTCAAACTGTAGAATGTACTGTTGCTAAATATTTCTTGGATAAATATAAGATGAAACTGAGATATCCACATTTGCCCTGTCTTCAAGTTGGCCAAGAACATAAACACACTTATCTTCCTTTGGAAGTAAATTTCTTAATTATTTTTTAATTTTGAAGTAAAATGAGTATTTTATTTTGAAATTTTACAGGTTTGTAATATTGTTGCGGGACAAAGATGTATAAAAAAATTAACTGATATGCAAACATCCACAATGATCAAAGCAACAGCGCGAAGTGCTCCAGATCGTGAACGTGAAATTAATTCTTTAGTCCGTCGTGCAGATTTTAACAATGACTCGTATGTTCAAGAATTTGGTCTTACTATTTCAAACAGCATGATGGAAGTAAGAGGTCGGGTTTTACCTCCTCCTAAATTGCAATATGGTGGTAGAACATTACCTAATCAGGTATGAAATAAAATAATATTTTTACTACGTTTATTTAAGTTCATATGATTTTCCTCTAATTAAATTTTAATGAAAATTAAGATTTTCATTGAAATTTATTAATTACATTGTCCTTTTGTGCCAAAATTATAAGCATGACCTGAACTAAATTTATTAACATTTGATAATAGGTGTATTATTTTGTATAGTAACCTGTCGAGTATTAAACCATAATTTTGATTGATAACTGTTTTTAAAACTGTATATAATTAAACTATATATATTAGCTATATATATATTTAGTTATATATAAATTAAACTTGATTGTCATGTTTTTAATATTTGGTATTTGAATTTTTCTGAAATAATTTATTCAATTTGTATTCATTCATTGTGTGACCTTTTTATTTACTATACATATCATATTAATGTTTTAATGCTTAATATTAGGGAGGATTAAATGTCCAACAAACTAAACAACAAGCATTACCTAATCAAGGTGTTTGGGATATGAGAGGTAAACAATTCTTTACTGGAGTTGAAATCCGTAATTGGGCGATTGCATGTTTTGCACCACAAAGAACTGTTCGTGAGGATGCATTAAGGTAAATATATATACAAAAATAATTTCATTTTTTTTTTTTATTTTTATTTTTTATTTTTTTTTTTTTTAATAAAATTAATTCAAAATTATAATTTTAGAAATTTTACAACCCAACTTCAAAAGATAAGTAGTGATGCAGGAATGCCAATTGTTGGACAGCCTTGTTTTTGTATGTGTAATTTTTATTAAAAAATATCCAACTTATATTGCAACAGCATGTATCTCGAAATTTGAAAAAAATGTCAATAATTTTAATTTTGTAAAAAAATTTTGACAATAATAATAAAAGAATTTTTTTTGAACATTTTTTTTCGTAAATAATTTTTGTGAAACGAATACTTCTGTCAAAAAATCATCTCTATTATTAAAATGTGTGTTAAAAATTCAAATTTGTTTTTGATCGTCCTATAAACCTAGAAAAACAGAGGTATGCACTGTTGCAGTATTACGGCTATATCTTATTATATGTATTTAATTATCACTAGTAAATTATTCTTATAAGATAAGTTTAAATCATTTTATAGATGATCTTGTTAATATACTAGTTTTATATAATTCTTTATAAATTTTAATGTATAAAGGTAAATATGCCACTGGTCCAGATCAAGTTGAACCAATGTTCCGGTATTTAAAATCAACTTTTACTGGCTTACAGCTTGTTGTGGTTGTATTACCTGGAAAAACACCTGTATATGGTAAATTTTACTACAAATAACACTAGTTCTTAACTAACTAATTTTGTGTTATTTGTTATTTAGCGGAAGTTAAAAGAGTAGGGGATACTGTTCTTGGTATGGCTACTCAATGTGTCCAAGCTAAAAATGTTAATAAAACTTCTCCTCAGACTTTATCCAATTTATGTTTGAAAATTAATGTTAAATTAGGAGGCATCAATAGTATTCTTGTACCAAGCATTAGACCCAAAGTATGGTTATTTAACTATTATAAACATTATATATATATATATTATATATATATATATATTATAATACTATTCAAATTAATGTATAACTTTAATGTAGGTTTTCAATGAGCCAGTTATATTTTTGGGTGCAGATGTTACTCATCCTCCAGCTGGAGATAACAAGAAACCATCTATTGCTGCTGTAGTTGGATCAATGGATGCACATCCTAGTCGATATGCAGCAACAGTACGTGTTCAACAACATAGGCAAGAAATAATACAAGAGCTTAGTTCTATGGTCAGGTATGTTGTTGGAAATACTTTTTTATATCATGTGAAAAATTAATTGAATATTTTTAATTTTTAGAGAATTGTTAATTATGTTTTATAAGAGCACTGGTGGATATAAACCACATAGAATTATACTATACCGCGATGGTGTATCTGAAGGACAATTTCCTCATGTATGTATTAATAAGTGATTTTATTTTTTAACTTTGTGGTTGAAAAACAGCTGTACTGGCCAGTTTAGAAAAACCTGAGATGTTGGTTTAGGTTAGAGCATTAGGGTACCATAAATGTATTTTACATGTATAATTTTATGAGTTTCTAAGCCTTGACCTAATGCAAATATCTGCTCCCACTAACATTGTACAGCATGTCCAAAAGACCTGACTAATGGGAAGGCATGCTGTGTTGTGATTTTTAGAGACTATGTGTGCCCGCCTTAAAATAAAGCATAACAGCAATTCTAGGGCTGTCTATAGTATGCCAGTCATAGAATAATAATAATAAAAAGTCATTGTCCATACTAGTCGTAATAATGCCGTGTCACCACTGTGCTAGGTTTTTTTATTTAAAATATGTGCTTTTAGGTTTTACAACATGAATTAACAGCTATACGTGAAGCATGTATTAAATTAGAAGGAGATTACAAACCTGGTATTACTTTTATCATAGTTCAAAAACGTCACCACACTAGGTTTGTATTATTTAGATTATTAAGATTATAATATTTCTACATTTAATATTGATTTTAATATGTATAATAATTTTTATTTAGATTATTCTGTGCTGATAAAAAAGAACAATCTGGTAAATCTGGAAATATACCAGCTGGAACAACAGTTGATGTTGGAATAACTCATCCCACAGAATTTGATTTTTATTTATGCAGTCATCAAGGAATTCAAGTTAGTATTATTATTTTCTGTAATTATTGTTGAAAAATGTTTTGTAAATTATTTTTTCTCTTAGTTTTTTTAATTTTTATTTATTTAGAAGTTTTATTTTATAAAAAAAATTATTTTTAGGGAACCAGTAGGCCAAGTCATTATCATGTATTATGGGATGATAATCATTTTGAATCTGATGAGTTACAATGTTTGACTTATCAATTGTGTCATACTTATGTGAGATGCACTCGTTCTGTATCAATACCCGCCCCAGCATATTATGCTCATCTAGTAGCATTTAGAGCGAGGTATCATTTGGTTGAAAAAGAACATGACAGGTATTATACTACATTATATTCTATTATTTTTAACTGACATGATTTTTTAATACATTGATATTGATTTAGTGGAGAGGGTTCTCACCAATCTGGTTGTAGTGAAGATAGAACACCTGGTGCAATGGCTCGAGCCATTACAGTTCATGCTGACACCAAAAAAGTTATGTACTTTGCTTAAGCAATCAATTAAAAAAAATTTTATCTAAATGATAAATTTAAGGCATCAAAGTCCCACCCGCCAATCATTGCCTATGTAACTAGACCAAATTTTTTTTTTATGTTTACTGACCTCTGACAAATATTTGTATGTATTTTAATTAATTCCCAACTATATCTAGTTCTTAGAAATTTTCCAAAGTTAAATTTGCGTTGTTGCTAGTATTTGTATTGTTACCTATTTTTCTTCTTTTTCTAATTAAAATTAGACATCACTTAATTACTTCCAGTATCTTAGTGCGCAAATTCTAGTCTTAACAGGTTTTTTCGGAATATTGTTTTCGAGTTTCAACCAACGGCAGCAATGAAAAATGCATTCCTCCTTTCAAATTCATGATTATTGTATTATAAAAATGTAATTGTTACAGTTAATTAATTAATGATTATTATTGTTAAGTGTGTATTATAGTCATAGTAATTAGACGTTTGTATTCCAATTTTCCTGCCAACTTAATCTCTACTTATCTGATTTTATTTTCTTTGATACTAGATTTTAAATAATTTTAATTGTGATTATCTCATAATTTTATTTTATTTCTGGTAACCATTCTAATAATTCTTTTTTTTTAATTTAATTTAACCATATATTCTCATTTTCTACGCGGCTCATTAGCTTGAACATAATATTAAGACCAAAAAATTGTGGTACCAATCTCATATTGATATGTTCATTAAATTAGCTTACTATGTAAGCTAGACCAACTAAGGGAAACTTGGATTATTTTAACCCAAATTGAAATCTGTTTAAATGCGTTGCACTTATGTCTGATTTTATTATTAAGGTATTAAATGCCAGAGGAATATTATATTTATTATTATTTTATTATTTAAGTATATTTTCNTATATATATATATATATTTATAATAATCACTAATTGTACCTGATTCTTAGATTGTTGTAATATTAATAAAATTTGATTACTTTGATTTGTTAATGTGATCAAATTAAATGATTTTTTTTTAAATTACCAGTAATTTCTCCATAATGTATGATATATTATTTGGTTGATTGGTACCACAATCGTCCCTCCGATTATAAAATTTGAGTATTAAACATTTAGTATAATACATATATTATATATATTTATTAAATTTTAATTATTTTATATACTTAAAATATATTTATGTAATCATACTTAGAATTAAAATATTGGTTATTGAAATTTTTGTCTATACCTTGTGTTTTATAAGCATTGACAATTTTGCAATACTTTTTAAAACACTTGGTGTTATAAATATTATTTATATTAAACCCTATAGGGAAATAGTTTTAAATAATCGAATAAAATTTATGCTTGTAATCTAATGTTAGTGTTTTCAAGAAAATAATGATCTAAAGTTTTTTTTTTGCAAACAATAATTATACGAGGTATTTGTATCATATTATATTTTAACAAATTTACTGTATATTATAATTTAAGTAATTTGTTTTACATGAAAATTACAAACACTTTGTTTTTTAAAATGTTCGCATTTAAAATAATACTAATTTAATTCAGTTTAAAAAATATGAGTGTATTTCCAGTAGTGTTTGGACACTAAATTATTTATCAGTGTTCTTATCAATACTAAATATAACCCTGTGATTAATTGAAATTAAATTGTTAATTTCTTACTTGTTTTTGTCTTTGAAGAACTTATACTGTAAGTTTCATTATCATATTAACACAATTATACATGAAAATTATTCAAAATTTTGATAAGATATATTTTATTACAACTTGGTAATAAGAAATTTTTTTCTCTAATGAATAGTGAATTATATATAATTAACACGAATAAATACATTTTATTTATAAAATATTAACCTGATTGAATAATTTAAGTGACAACTTTTATAACTTTCTATAAAATTAATATTTTGTTGAATTTTTTTAATAATAATTAATGTATTCTTAGGCTACGTTAAAAACATATATAACGTATAATAGTACAGCATGCATTCAATTTTATTGTCCAATAATCAATTGTACTTTTTTTTTTATCAAAAGAATAACTTTTAATGTTTTAGAGCAGAAAGATAATACTTATTATCGTATTCAGAATACGATTTTTGACATTTCCATTGATAGTTTTAGGGTTCTATCATTCACATATCCTGTAGTCGTACAATATTAACTCAAATATTCTTTTTTTATTAATGGCCGATATTTCTATATTTTTAACGAAAATTTAGATCTAAAATGATACGTAATAATTAATTATTATTATATTATGTGAATATATAAATCAGATAATAAATACTGATCTGTATTGACTTCTTACAATGCAAACCGGTTATTAATGATTTGAAATAACCATTTTTGGGCATCCTGAATGAAAAAGTATTGCATAATGTTATGTCGGTTATTTTCATTTGTAAGTCATAACTCAGAAAGAAATATATGTAAACGTTAACTAAATAACGTTTTTATATGGAGTACAATGAAATTTCGTCTAAATAACTAATTTTCTAATTAAATTCTAGACTACAAAATAAATTAGATGCCGATTCTATTTAAAAACATTTTCTTTCGTCTTCATTAGTCCAAGTCTTGAGATATTTTTTAACAGTTTTTATGCATTATTTATACGATTACATTAATGATCGGACCACACATTTCGAAAAAAAACTGTCCAAATGAATACTTTGGGTAGGAATTTAGATAACTTTATTTTTCAGAGTAGGCATGTACCTTTTAATCAAAGGGTTTATATAAAAGCAATTAATCAAAATTCTTTTTGTATAATAAAATAATATTAAAATCAAAAATATTCAACTTTAGCCGTGCATAATAGATGATTCATGTTTGTTTTACAGTACTTGAAACAGCAATTCGTATTGTTAATCATTATATTAATATCGATATTGTGGAGTAGGATATTTTTCAGAGATAATTGTTTTATTATTTTAATTGAAAAAACTGGATACCAATTAATCATATTAAACTAATACATATTTTTAAATTTTATTATGGCTTTTTAATACAAAAATTAAAATAACAATTCAATAATATTTAAATTAAATCACAAAATTATGATGGAAGAAAACTGTATAGTTAATTATAAGACATGAAGTATCAAAAGAGAATAATATAATACAATATATATATATATATATTATTTTATTATGATACTTATATATATATATATATTATTTTATTATGATACTTATATATATATATAAATATACATAATCAATTATTTAATTGTGCATTAGTACAATGTAAATGTCTTTTCCTTAAACTTTTAATGGCTTACAAAATAATAAGCCTTTTGAGTTTTGGAAGCAATTTTTGATAAATATGAAAGTTTAATAAATTATTTATCTTTAGTTTTAGCAAAAAATATTTATCACGGTACTCTAACTACTATAAGAGTAAAATAGTATTATATTTAAAAAAAATATTAAAATTTAAATGGATGTGAAAAATTATAAAAATTTCATATTTTTTACAATTAATGTGTAGAGTTTGTATAAAATATTACAATTGTATAAAATGGAAGTATAAAATAAGACTAAAAATGTTATAACATTATCATAACTTTATTTATATAATAAAATGACTGAATAAAAGTGGCACATTAGTAACTTTTATACTTTACAATGTAAGTAAGAAAAAAATTAGGATTTAAAATAAATAGCAAGAGTTAAAAGATAATTAAGATTATCTTTTAAAAATATCTACGTATGCACTAACATTGTGAATCATGAGACATAACATAAATGACCATAAGACAACAAAAACTTGAAAAACTAATAAAAACAAACGTTAATATTATTTAATGGAAATCAGTACTTAAGTTATTATAAATAGACATTCAAGAATTACATTAAAAATAAATAATAATAAAAAATTATTACAATAATGTATTAACAAATCAATAGTACTATAAATTATCAATAACACAATTTTAGCCTTGGGTTTAAATTGTAAATGTATTTTGAAAATACAACAGAATAAAATATAATACCAATATGGGTTGTTAATAAAAAATTTATATATTTAGTTGTGAGTTGTATGATGTGATTTGATTGATGACGCAAGTACTGTTAATTATTGGTAACTTTTGTCATGTATGTTAGTATTTTAAAATATTCAATATATTTTTTGAAATATTTATTTGTATTTTAAAATCATAAAGCACTTTTTTGTTTTAAGAATTTAAAATACAGCTGTTAATGAAATTTTAACAGTTAGCTTGAGCATCCTTATGTTGGTCAAATTACTAGAAATAACTTGCATTTATATTATGTGCAAGTATTACAAATTCTAGAAATTAATTTCCATTGGACTCATTTGTTGTTCAATTATGAATTATTCACAATAATATCAGTTGACTAATTAGTTCTGGGTGATGTTGGAGAAGACTGCTGAGCACGTTCTATATACAAATTAAGCAATTTAAGTTTTGCACCATTCAAACAAGATATATATGGTGCAAATTCATGTTCACCAAATACTTTATGTAGAGAAACCATACAAAATACAGCTGATTTTCTAACTGCACTATCTGGATTATCATAGCCTTGCAAAAGTCCTGGCATTATTTCTTTCATTTGGGAAGCAACAGGAGGACTGCCATACATATCCACCAATTTGGTCATCATTTTAATTGCCATTAAATTTACAGGAAATTCTTTGGCAGATATAAGTGGAGTTATTACTCTAACTACAGTTTCTGGTTGTAAAGACACACTTAAAGCAAATGAACATTCTTCTGCAACTTTAACTACTGGTTTACAAGGATCACAACACATGTTCAGTACTTTAAGAATTATTAATTCAGTGAAATTAATAAAACATGGAGCCATTTCTGGTCTCTGGACTAGAGATGTTATTAATAATATTGCTTGCTCTCTAATAATAGGTTCATTATCCATTAATAACTTTAAAACTACTTTGATTATTTTTTTGAAATTTTTAACTAGTATTTCTGAAGGTCCATCTCGAATGACTTCTTTCAAACGATTTAGACTTGATTGTTTATAATCTAACTGTAAAGAATCTTTGTCCAAATCATCAAGAACTTTTACAATTCCATCTGCTGTGGTTGTTGTATGTCCGTTTTTGTAGCCATTTAAGTTATGATTTTCAACTTCAGTGCGAGAAGACATTTGACTGATTCCAGAATCATAGGAAGCAGTTTCTCTATCACCAGTAAAATGACATTCTAAACTATATTTTTGTATTTCAGCTGAAGTTTGTTTTAATGACTTATAAATTTCTTCAGAATTAAAAGCATCTGTAGTGTCAGGTTGTAGAGGGGGAGAAGCTAAGTTTGTTGGTGACTGACGGTTATATTTTGGAGACAACAACTGATCCACACTACTTCTTCTAACTCTATTTTTAATTATTCCAGACACAGCTTCTTGATATTCTTCAGGTAATTGAGATAGCCTCAGTGTAATTTGAGATGCATTTAAGCTATATAATGCCAATATTGCATCTTGAGCAACACGTCTTAATTCTGGACCTTGTTTAATATTATTACCCATAGTCCAACCAATCATTTTTGTTAAAGCTAAAGTTGCATAATCTTTTTTTCCATCAATGGCTGAAGGAAATGCTGACCCAGGATCTGTTGTCACTGCTAATTTTGAAATATAACTCATAGCAGCTATTTTCATTTTAGCATTAGGTGTTTGAGTAGGATCTGTAAGAAATTTGAAAACGGCTGTTAATTGAGCATCACAAGAAAATGATGCTCTGACGACCTCCATGGTTTTTAAAATTTTTGAATGAACAGAACCTAATATATCAGAACCACCCTTGTTAAAAAGTTTTGCTAATAGAATATATAACCAGTATTCTAAATATTGGCTATGTGTTACAATTAATTCATTGAGAGCGTCTAAAAATAAACTTATAACTTTAGTTTGAGAATCCATGAACATTTTGGTAAATACATCTGTCAATCTTCTTAACAAAATTTCACTTATTTTATTGCCTTGCTGTAAATAGTATTGTAAATTTACTAGGCCATCTTTTCGATTGTTCCAAAATGAACTTTCACAATTTGAAATAATGTCTACTATGTCTAAATTAGCATTTTCCCAAATATCTTTATTATGCAACCTATGCTGTGATCCATTCCAATAAAATGAATCTGATGGTCTTCTGTGTGAATCAACTGATCGCTCAGAACAAATACTTGATGTTTCACTCTCATCACTATGATCTTCTAAGGATCTTCCAAGCACTTTTCTTGGAGACTTATGACTCCCTGTAGTACCCAGAGCATCAGCCAAGGCAGATTCTGCTTCCCTACTTTGCAATAGTATTTTTTGTGCCATTATTGGCCTTGATGTAGGTAAAATAGGAGGTCTTCTACTACTTGAATGTGATCCTAAAGAACTATACCGATTAGGACTTGCTTCTCTACTAGTATCTTGAGATCTAGGTATTCCAGAACTACCCCTTCTAGATTTTGGTTGACCAAATGCAAATCTTGATGATGGTGATCCAGAACGACTAGTTGGTTGAGATATAGACATTCGACCTCTGGATCTTCCTACTCTTTCTTCTTCACCAGTTTTCTTAGAAATTAGCTGTGGAGATGACATTGGATTAACTTTTTGTCTTGCTAATGCTGCATATTGTGCTCGTGCTTTAGCTCTTTGAGCTGCTTGCAAATCTATGGCACTACTTGACCTCATTGAAATAGTACTTTGAGGTGTAACAGGACGTCTAGAGGGCATTCTAGTACTCTCAGCCATTATTGATTTGGGTAAGCATGAACTAGAACCAGAATTTGTTAACAATACTTTTCGATATGCTGGTTCTAATTTGTTCAATAGCGCTTCACCTTGATCAGGAAAATGTTCACAAAACCCCCAATATGCCTTACGTGATAATACCCTAGCATCAGAATCAGCATCAGCTATACCTTTTTTAATAGAATCTTGAAGTATAGTTATATGTCTTTCTAAGGCATGAGTTGGCCACGTGCGTAATATTTGATCGAAAAATTCACAGCATGCTCGACGGATATCTTTTGATTTGGAATTTAAACTATTTGCTAGAATGGGAATTATACGAGAAGCATGTGTATGTTCCAAAATAAATCTTATAGCAACTAATCCAGATGATGCAGTTACTTTGGCAGAATTAGGAATAAGATCAATTAAATTGCTAAATATTGATTCAGCAAAATGATTAAATTTAATACCTAAACGCTGAGATAAAAATGCTATAGTGATACAAGTTTCTCTTACAACTTGAGATCGTAAATCTTTCACAGAAGTCTGAAAGGAATGTTCTAGATACCTTAAATTGTTAAAAAATTCTTCATATTTTGTAGTTCCAATTAAAACTAGTGATCTAATTTTTTTTAATGACTCAACTCGTTTATTCCATTGTTCATTACCATCTTGAATACTTTCATGTAACTTTTTCATTGTTTCATCAAGATCTCTTACACTAAAAATTTGAACAGTAGGAACATCTTCAAAAGATCGAATGAATGTTTCTTCGTCAACTGCACCAGCATGTGAAGAGGTAGTTGATGATGCTGACCCAGGTTTTCGTACAGAACCTGTTCGATGTAAAGGGGTAGTAGAATTTGGAGGGAAAAAAGTACCAGGCCTTTTGACACTGCCTGGAATTCGTTTATTTCCTGACATACATGCACGATCTATTTCATCTTCATCGGCAAGACTAAGGCCTACAAAAGCAGTAGGTAATAAATCTCCAGCTGCCTTGGCTTCATCAAATTTATTCATCAGGTCTGTCATTTTTCCTTGAGGTATGGTATATTTTTTTTGAATATCATTTCGTAATTTTTCTCCTACATGTTTGTATAAATCTACTAAAGTTTCAAATGCTTTATGTCTAACTTGAACATTAGGATCACTTAATAACTTTATTATCATTGGTACAATTTTTGATATAGTTATACAATTAGCACCAAATTCTTCAACAGTTGAAAGTAAAAGTTTCATAGCTCCTTCTTTTACATTACTATTCTTATGGTTGAATGCATTGGCTGATATTTTATCAAATAGTGACTGTGGACTGATTGTATCACATTCCATCAACTTCATTATAAGAAATAATGCCTTCATTTTTATTGATTCTTTACCATCACCTAATCGATCAACTGCAAGAGGTAAAACAGTTGATATATAAGGTCTGAAATCTGTTCGCATTCTTGTTATTAGTTGTGTAATAATTTCAATTCCATATTGGGTAACTTTGGGATTACTATTTGATAACCATTGAACAATTCCATCAATGAATAATCCAATGTCTGAACATTCAACAGAATTACTTGGTTCTTCCAAATATGTAAACAATTTCCCTCCTACCGTTACTTTCATTCTAATATCAGTTGTTGATAATAAAGGCAAAAAGCCATCTAAATCTTGAGGTGTTCCAGCTGCCATTTTATAGTAATTCTATATAATGTTTTAATATGAAAGTATGTTTGTTTTTATCTTGTATATCACATCAATATATAATTCATCTAAATTATTCATATTCTGAAACATAATGTTTAACTAAATTTAAATTAAGACCAAAAAAATGATACCATTAATTAATTTTAGTTTGCAGATACTCATTTTAATTATTAGAAAAATGATATAAACAATATTAAGTTAATTAAAAAATGAAGTTTATAACTTCCTAGTACTATACTAGAAAAGTCTACTCAAGTTTCAGAAAAATAATTCAGCCAATTAAATGCTGTTTGAATTAACAAAGTTAACAACAAAATATTCATCACTAACATATGATCAATTAATCTTGTTAATTTAAATTATTAAAAAATACATAACTTTTTCTTGGAAATAGTATTGATGATAATTAAATCATTTATGAACAAAAAGATAGTATGCATAATAATGTAATTAAACTAATTTTGACCAATTATATTATATAAATAATTGATAAGAATAATACTAAATCTACTTAACCCCAAAAAAATATTATATATAAATTTAATTAATTTTTATCCATAAGAATTTCACCAGGAAAATTTAATTGAAGTATATAAAAAAAAAAAAAAAAAAAATAGGAATTTACTAACTAGATAATTATCAGATAAGCTAAAAATAAAGAACCTTTATTAAAATTATTTAAACTAATTGATGATTATTTATAGCAGCAGTGAAAAGAAAACAATTATATACATACATATATTTACTAGTATAAATTAAATCCTTTATAAGTTATTAAAAATTGTTGTCATGTGTTCAACAGCTGGTTGTGGGTGTTCATTTACAAAATTACTTTAGAAATTTAAAGGATTAAATAACTGAGAACTATTTAATGTTACTATAATATTCAATTAAAGAAAGCAAATGTTTTTGATTTTATTATACATTAAATTGGGCACACTAAAAAATTTGATAAAATTCTTCATTGCTTTATTTACCTTGAAAAATATATTATTAAAATATTCAACAAAAGTTATAGTTAACTGCATAAATAACTTAGATTTCATAAGTTAAACTTTTATTTTTAATATTTATAATTACTAACATATTCTATAAACTTGATTTTAATATTTAATATTAAGTCTAATTATTTTATTTAAGGTTTCTAACAATAATTACTACTATTTTAAGTACTCAATGACTGTAATAACATCGAAAAAAATTATAGAACAATAATTACACAAATAATTGTGTTATAAATTCATTTGTAGACGAAAGACTTCCAAAAGTTGGTTTAATAATAAATAACTTACCAAATAATGGTTTCAAAAAATGATAACGGGTTCATCATTGTGTATATTTTTTCGTATTGACTACTACTTTATTGTTTCATAAAAAAATTTCACTAGATTATTGTTGTGTATTTCTTTTTTATATACACGGATTAATACAACAAAAACGATGTGAATAGAAATCTCATTAATGAAATTAATTTTTGATAGAACTAATCGTCAAGAACGAAAAGAAGGCAGTCGAACAACAACAGTTTTTAGTCAAGGACACTGTGTAATAAATATAGGGTGCGTTCGATTGCAACTGCACAAACTTCGGAACGATGTTATAACCTCAAAAATGTCTACTGTAAATAAATATATCTAATACTTTTACTTGTTGAAATTAATTGGAAAATCAAAGAATAAATAGTTTACAGAAAGCCATGTCTTTTATTGAAGTTTATTAGTTATATTCAAGTAAATCCGTTATTATATTTCATATAATAATATAGCAAAAAATCAACAAGCTCTTAATTGAATGAATAAATGTAAAATTTATTTTTTGAATAGCATTAACCATATCAATATAACTTTTGTTCTTATAATTTAATATTGATATAGTAGCAAATTTTAAATATATTCTGTACATACTAACTATGAAAATAGCAGCTTTTTTCAAACCTGTCCTGTAAACTTGGTATGACTAATTATTAAAGAATTTTGTTAAGTTGCGTTTGATTAAAATTGTACCAAATAAATTTATCAGATAATCTACTTAATAAAAATACTTTCATTTTAGTTTAATTCTTAATGTCATTTCATTTTTCTTATAATTCCAGTAAAACCAAAACACATCATAACAAATTTTCTGTTTTGCTAAATAAATATAGGTTAATCAGGATTTGAAGAGATTAAAAAACTCATCAAATAATTTATGATCCTATGTCATATATATATATATTCCTAGTATACGTTCAATATCTAACTTTTTGAAAAAAAAAACAGATGCTTGTTAAGCATTGGTAAAAGAGAATTAGTTCCCTTGTGAATATTTTTGCTTTAGCTATGATACTACTGCCATAAGTATTAATAATTATTTAATAGGCAAAATACAATTACATAAAATATTAAATTATAAAAATTCAAAAACAATTGTTTATAATTTTTTTTAAATACTTTTGTTCAATAAGCACACTAAGTTTTTAGGGGTTAGTACTTATAGTTCAAGAATTGAAAAATTATTAAATCTACTAAATTTTTCAAGGTATATTATAATTCTGTTTTGAAAATAAATACACATACAATAATTAAAGAGAAACCCAATTTATTATTTGTGTAATAGTTATACAAAAAAATATAAAATTGGGATAACTACAAACGTCTACCCCTACGACCACCCTTTCTACGTGTAGAATCTGAAGGAATTGGTGTAACATCTTCAATTCTGCCAATTTTCATACTAGAGCGAGCCAAAGCACGCAATGCAGATTGTGCACCAGGACCTGGAGTTTTTGTCTTGTTTCCACCAGTTGCTCTTAATTTGATATGCAAAGCTGTAATACCTAATGTTTTGCATTTTTCAGCAACATCCTAAAAAATATAATTTATTAGAAAATATTTAAGTTAAGGTCACTTTCTAGAGAATATTAAAAAAAGATTAAAATAAACAAAATCTATAATAATACTCTTACTGTTGAATTAGCACTTGTTTTTATTACATTAATTAAGCATGAAGAAATTTTATCTTTAAAATTACATGTTATTACTAAATAATAAATATAAAGATATCTGAAATTTAACTAATGATGTTTATAACTTTTAAAACAATCATTTTGCTGATATATATTTTTAAATAATTATTGTCTTCTTAGACTACATTTAAACCAGTTTTTTATAAATCACTATTAAGAAAAAACTATAATTAATTTTATTAATTTAAAAAAAATAAAATAGCTATTTTTTATATTTTTCCTTACAAAATATTTAATAGATTGATAATTTTTGAACTCGATGAATCAATGAGCATTTTAATACATAGTGGGTATAGAACACCGGCTGAGTATACATACACTAGTACAAGCTGCATCCATCCTCACTGAATAACCACTATATGTACAAAGTTACTTGTAACTCAACGAGTACTTATATTAAAATTGTTTTCAAGCAATTTTTGTAAGAAAAAGCCAAAAAATGGCTATTTTGAAATTTAGAAAAAAAAAATGTTTTTTTCTTTTTATTAGTGATGAATACTAAAAAAATATGCTTAAAATATAATCTAATGAGGCAATAATTATTTTAAAAATTATTACTTAACTTTTAAATGTACTAATTTCACTAGAAAAGTAGCGTACTTATAGAACTTTTTACAAAAAAAATGTTGTATGCCACTGTTAAAAAAATTCCTGAATATTCACCTATTTAAATACATTATAACCTAGTAGGTGATCTATGCTAGAGCTTATTAGTACTAAACTGAAATGCACATAATTATTATTTAGAAATAATAATTCTGTTTTAGACATTCCCCAGTATAAAGAAAAAAATCAAGAAAACTAGTATTATATCAATTTAAAAGCAAATATTAGTTCATCATTCTTGAAAAATAGATACTTCAAATGTAACTAATTTATAATTGTTATGTACTCTTGTTTTAAAGAAAAAGATAATTATTATAAACAAATTAAAAATAGCTGTTTATAACTAGCTACATTCTTTGAATTGCGATTTAAATACTAAAAGAATAATTAATATTTCTTCATAATCTAATAGAGTAAATGTATTAGCCCTAGTCAATCTATAAAATTGTTTTTAAGGTTTAGATAATAATATTCAGTTTTTTTAACAATTCTTATTGTCTAAAAATAAAAATAAAATACTATTAACATGACGAGACACTATGAGCAAAATGCTCACAAATTAATCAATTTTAGAACTACTTGTTTACATTAAATTTGAATTAAACATCATTAAAGATATGCTTATAGTATTTACAAAAATAAATATGGAATAATATCAACTCAACTTTAATAATGTTAAATTTATTACATCATAAATGATATGTACACTTTGTTAATACTGTGTTTTTTAGCATGAATCTAACACGTCAATTATCGTTTTTATATTTTTATTTTTATCAGTTTGTCATGCGTTACTTTCAAATAAGGTATATTTTCTCTTATAGAATTTTACTACCATTTTATAGATATGAAAAATTGTCAATATAGATAAGGATAATTCATTTTAATAACAGTTAATTAAACTTTTTAAATAAGTTTTTTTTTAAGTTATGTATTTTATTAAAAAGATGAATTATTATATTAAATATTTACTATTAATAAAAGCATTCAAATATTTTTATTTCTAATAAAAAATATTTTTTAATTGTTAGAACAAAATTCTCATAAATGTAAACAATGGTATAAATAATTTGGAATCACCAACAATGGATTAAAAACTTAAACAAATTATTTTTGATATATCATGTACGTAATAATCAAAAAATAGTTCAGTATAGTGATAAGTGACACCTATACATATAAATTATTTAAATTTTTATATGCATTGTCCAAGCATCAGTAATAATTATTAATATTCACCTGAGCAGCTAACATAGCAGCATAAGGAGATGCTTCATCTCTGTCAGCCTTTACTTTCATACCACCAGTTACTCTTGCAATAGTTTCTCTAAAAATTTCCATTTAACATTTTAAATATAAATTAATATTATATCTAAACCTATTGAACTACATCAAAACTAATTAACTATATCAAATAATACCTTCAGTTTACTTAAATATTTGGTCATATTGTTAAATTCAGACATTCATACATATGAATATATAGATGTTTTATTTTTAAACTTGATGATACATACCTTCCAGATAAATCCGTAACATGCACGAATGTATCATTGAAACTGGCAAAAATATGTGCAACACCATACACTAATTCACCGTCTTGAACTTGTGGCCCCAATTGGACAACTGGTTCTTCTTTCTGTACTTTACCTTTACGTGGAGCCATTTTATTCTATATATAATACAATTTTTAATGATTATAATTTTTCAATTTTATTAGTTAAATGAAATTAGCCACATGGCAAACAAACACATAAGATAGAAAAAATATCAAATGTATTGAATTAAAAAAATTTAAAAGCACAAATAATAGTAAAATCTTAAGATGTGTATTTATTTGATAAACTAAATTCTACTAACTTTGAATACTAAGAAGTGCCTAAATGTCAAAAATCGTCGAGGATTTCGAGTATTTACAGAATAGTAAATCCTTAGACATATAAAAAAGAGTTATCCGACATGTATAAAAATATTGAGGTTATTAAACAGATAGTTTGTTAGTCTACAGTCTTGCCAACATTAATATTCGTATTTTCAGTCGTGGCATTTGGCATTATCTAGATTGACTACAATTTCATAATTAGATGTAGAAACAAATATTATTAAATGACATTTAAAAATATTTGGTCAAAATAAAATGCCAAATAAAAATAATTAATTTTTAAAAAGCTACCACACGTCTTTTTTTTTTTAATTTTCTGGAATTTATTTTTTTACCAATTAGTATATATAATAAGCTTTATTTATAAAATTACGATATATTTTTTATAATTATAAAGTATGCAATATAAATTAAATTATTACTGTGTTAATATAATACTTGTCTTTAAACCAGAACTTAGGAAATTCTAAATGCAAAGTTGCCATATCAAAAATTTATTTGATTACGCGCTTTTTTATTTCAATAATCAACTTCACGAAATATATAAAATAAAAGCTTATATTCTATAGGCGTCAAATAAGAGGAGGTGCTTACCTCCCAAATAATTTTTAAATTTTATATTAATGTTTGTATAAAAGAATATAAATAATGACTAGTTATAATGTAAATGGGTAATTTAAATAAAAAATGTTAAAAAACCGTAAAATAAATTTAATAATTTTAAAACCCATAATAGTTTTTCAAAGCAAATCAAGTTTTGATTTTTTGAAGTCAGATCTCCTTCTTTCTCGCCTTATTCCCAATTACTTGGGGTCGGTCACCCTTATTCTAAACTTCCACTTGACACGAACTCCCACATTATCTATGCACACATCAGCTGTCCTCATATTGTATTCAGTAGCATCCCTCCATCTCTTTTTTGATCTTCCTCTACCTCTTTGTAGTCAGATATTAAATTTATATCTTTGCACAAAAAGTAAAATATATTATACAAAACCAAAATGATCTGTAACCGTTCAATAGAAAACCAAATTCTAATAAAAATTAGTATTAGAGGTGTGAAATAATTAATTTCTTGATTTTAATTTTGGATTTACGTTGCTTAAAATTAAAATAACACAAGATAAACAGGTTTTGAAATAAATAATCTATGAAGCCACCAGATGTTTTAAAATAAAGTAATATTTTTGAAAGGTATTATGTTGCTTAAATTCATTTCTCTTTTAATGAATTTACTAAGAAAATAAGAAAAATTGTCTCATTCTAGTAGTTTTTTAAAATTAAATTAACATCAATATTGGCAAATATCATTTTTTAAATTAAAAATAATAATATTACATCAATAGATAAATACTATTAACAATTTTTAGGATTTGTTAATACAAGTAAGGATTAAGTGATGTAAGATTTTATTTAAATTTGATTATTTTTATCTTTTAAAATAACATAAGAAATATAATTCTATTTTACTTATTAAAAGAGTAGTTTACAATAATATTTATATATACTTAAACAAGAATAAATGCAGAACAAAAGTAATAACATTTAAAGATGAAAGAACACTCATAATCACTAAATAACCACATGTCAACATTCACATGCTCAGATTATTTAAGTAATATGGCTATTTCCAAGAATTTGCTTTGTGTTTTGGTAAAAATTGAAAACCATCAGGAACTGGGCCTAATAACATTTTACTAATTTCTATCCAATCAGCACAATTACCACTTGCCATAAGTGTCTCTAAATCATTTCTTCCTTTATAATTGGGTGGTCTTTCATTTACTTTTTGTGGCACTCGTTCTAATATACCCACAGGAATATATCTATGGCAAAATGAAAGCCATTCTAATAAAAACCTTCTTGTTGTTTCCACACCTCTTGTATCACTTCCCCAGTGTTCTAGACCATAGTTTACAAATCTTTTTAATATTTCAAATCGTTCACAACTACTTATATCCCAATGACGTTTTTCTTTAATTTCTTGAAAAATCCATGGTTTAATTAAAGCTCCTCTACCAATCATAACACCTGAAATATCAGGGTATTCTACTTTGGATTTTTCATAATCTTCATAAGACATTATATCTCCACTGCTAAAAACTGGAATGGGATCTGCTAACTTAGCACATGTATTAACATAATTCCAATCAGCCATTTTTGTATATCTTTGATCTCTTGATCTACCATGAACTGTTATTAATGAAACTCCACTGGATTTGAACATTGGAATTAAATCATGTGTAATATTTTGATCTTTGTTCACACCTGAACGAGTTTTAACAGTTAGTGGTACGTTGAGAACTGTTCTCATGCTTTTTAAGCAGACTTCCAATTTTTTGCTTCTTAACAGCAAAGCACTACCAGCGCCCTGACGATTTATTTGATCTAATGGACAACCAAGATTTAAGTCTATAAAATCCATATCAACAGTTTCTTGAAGAACTTGAGCACTTTTTGTTAAAATATAAGGATTATTTCCACAAATTTGAATGCCAAATAAATCTTCAGATTCATGTCTTTTAGTGAGAGCCCACTCTTGATTGTGACCTTGTAATAAACTAGAAGAGAGAACCATTTCACTGCAGGTAACATCAGCTCCAAATTCTTTACAAATTCTGCGGAATGGTAAATTTCCAACGGTAGTTAAAGGAGCTAAATACAATTTATTCGTCCAGTCAATAACTCTGTTTTCTTCTATAAGGGGTCCAATATTTTTATCATTATCAATTTTTTTAACAGCTTCATTACTTTTAGTAAAGTCATACGTTTTTTTTCGTAACTGTAATACAATTTCTTTTCCATGCATGTTATGTTTTTTTTCATTTAGTAACCAATTGTCATATTTAATTTGATCAATGTAATTATAATCATTTTTAATATGATTTTGACCAAATCGACATGTAAGACCTCGTGAGCAGTACCCTTTTAAAGTATAAACATAGCATGTGCTATCAATGTCTTGAGGTTTATTTTGCAAGTACTGTGTAATATTGTGTAAAAATTTACATTTGTCATTTAAACATGATCCTTTATCAAAACCTTCTACTAGTGCAGGACATAAATGACTGTTAGCATCTTGAAAATATGTACAGTTTCTAGATTTATTTTGACCTTTTAAAACACTTTTACTGCATTTTTGCTTTTTGGAGGGAGGTTCAATATCAGTTATCTGACCTTTATCTTTTTCGGAAATACAATTGATTGCTAATTTTGGTATATGGTCTTCAACAATAAATTCTTTTTTTATACATGCTACACCTTTATTTCCATATTGAGTGTTTGGTTCAATATTTAAATTTAATCCATTGTTTTCAACTAATGTTAACATATTTTCATTATTAGAGGAAAATTTGTCATTATTTGATGATGACATTTTAAAACCTAAATCAAAATAAAAATAGTTTTACTAAGATAATAATAAATAATATGTTAATTACATCAATCAAATAATAAACTAATTTTTATTTATATAAGATTTAAAAAAAAAACATATTTTTCAGATTATTAATATTATTTTAACAGTTAAAGTAAAATATTCAATAGTATTTTTAGAACTTTATTTTGTAATTCAATCAGCTTTTATGTTGAAAATATAATATATCATTAACATAATCGCGTCATCTTTGATGAATTACTTAGAAGTATATCAAAGAATATGTTAATCCTAAAACAGTATTATCGATAATTTCAACTACAACACAATGTTTAAAAAATAATATTTTTAAGTCTTATAACTTATTTTAAATTACTACTTTATATTTTTGTTACAAATTATCCTGTCTAATTAAAGTACATTACTTTTTATTTTCAATACGTCAATAATTGTCGGGCCATCAATTATTATAAACACAAGTTTTATAAATGTCTGCAATTATAAAAGTAAGGGAAGTATTGTCTCTAAAAACTAATTTTTTATAAATTATTTTTAAAATTTAATGTAATAAATCGTAAGTTTTTGAACATAACCAATAATATTTATTGATTTTTTTTCAATACTCTGATTACAGCTTGTTCCCTTTATGTAGCTTCACTGTTAAGCGTCCGTGTAACGTTGGTGAACTTGGCGATAATGTGGAATTTAAACTGAGAAATGTATTCCTCCGCGATTTTTACAAATTTTACAAACTTTTTATTAATTTGATTTAAAATAAATTCATTTCTATGTACGTATAGTTGGGTTAAAAATAAATTTTGCTGTTATTATTGAATTTCTATCACTTAAGTAAGTGCTCTATTAGTTTACATTAAGATATGAAAATAAAGTAAGTTAATTTAAACAGCAACTGATATGATTGTTTGCGCCATTTCCTTTTATATGTCCAATCATTCAAATATTTCTTCTGACATAATTACCCCAATTTCAATAATTATGCATTCGATTTGTTAAACTTATATTTATGAATAACTTTTCCAATAAAAATAACTATTAAAAAATATGTTTTATAAATAAAGTGAGTTAAAATTGTTTTGTAAACAAACAAAAATATAATTTATTTACTATACTGAGTTGGATTGACTAATATAAATATAAAACTTAGTCAATACATTTTAACTATATATTTTTGCAAATTGTTGAGGCATATGTTTGTATTTTATGCAATAGGTGCCATTTATTTCATTTTTAAAGTAATGTTTTTATTTCATTTTTATTGCAGTTTATTTTTACTAGTTGATTTAATTTTTATAGCTTAATTGAATTCATTATTTTCAATAAATGTATAAATATAATAGAAATAAAATATAATGTAACAAAATATAATAAATATAATTTTGTATTATAACACAAAAAATTTTTTTTGTCTAGGACACATTTATGTAGGATTATAGTATTTTATAATTATTTAATATTTGATAATGACTGTGTAACATGTTATTACATGGTAAAAATTTCTTCTTTATTTATTCCAAAGTCATTACTTATTAATTAACTCGAGGAAAATGTATATTACCAGAATGAATATTTCATTTTTAATCTGAATATAAATTTTTTTCTTTCAGAATTATGTTTATATTATTCAATCCTGCATTCAGACAATTTTTCATTTTTGATAATAAATAATAAATTTGCAATCATTAATTACTATAACATTTTCTTAATAGAAAAATATTTAATTATGCTCATTACATTTTTATTTATTTATATCACTACTATATTTTTATAATAATATATGCATAGACTATTGTGACACTTAGTTACATACAAAACAAATTGTACATGTAATAGTCATTTAAAAGTGGATCTACCTTACCTGTGTCTCTTTAATTCTAAAAGTTCATCGTAAATTATTTATTTAATACCAGACAGCCAGCTCTCTAAATTCATTTTTTTATACCTAATCAAGCTCTAATTACCATATCATTTGAAAAATATAGAAATGAATTGTGGTGTGTATGTTAATTAATCAATTTTAGAACATTAAAATGTGAAAAGACTTTAAAAATATTTTGTTAATTATTTATTATTGTATAATAAATTATGTCGAAATTAGTTCCTAACTTCTAATATTATGTCTTGTATATATTTTTCTTCTTCAGGTTTCTTAGTCTTTTGACTGGTGGTGCCTTCCTACAATTCTTTTCCATTCCTCCCTGTCTTCTATTTTCCTTTTAATATCAACATATTTTAGGCCCAGTTCTCCACATATCTATGATATGAAATTTGCTCTAATATAATTTTAGGTTTACAAATCATTAAACATGATCATTTTTTCTTATATAAATAAATTGGCTAAACTAACTTAATCTTTTATTTTTTTAGAATGCAACTAAGATGCCATTTACCTTCAAAATGTTTTATACTTATAAAATTCTAAAATTTGATGGTGTTGATTTTATAAAATAATTGAGGTATTTATACGTTAAATATTAATTAGTATATATACAATGGATTCAGATAGTAGTGATATGGATATTGATGATGAATATGGCGAAACAAAGTTATGTCCAGCAGCTTTAGGCTTACAACCTGTAAATAGAAAAGATAATCCTAAGCCTAATGATTCATCAAACTCAATTAAAGATAAGTTAAACAGAAGAGGTATGCCAGCACGTATAAGAAAAAAAAATAAATTATTTTTTGATGAAGAAGTTTTTAATACATCTAAAAATCCATCAGTAAAACAAGAACGTTTGATGAATCTAAATTCACCAAAAAAATATACTCCTAAAAAAATTTCTGAATCCAAAGTTGAGAGTAAAACCCCCAAAACTCCCAAACAAGATAAAAACCCAACTCAAAAAACGCCAACACCTAAAGTTGCTGTTAAAACAACACCCACAATCAAACTAAAAACTCCTAATATTAAAACACCCATTAAAAGTGCTACAAAAAAAAATCTAGAGAATGGATTATCTAAACAAAAAATTATAAAACAAGAGACTCCTAAAAATGTAGTGTCAACTTCTAAACCAAAATGTGACACAGTTGATCGTAAAAGATGCCAAAAAGTTGGACTTAAATTACGAAAAATTTTTCATCTACCTAAAGCAAAAAATTGGATTTATTATGAATGGTTTTATAGTAATATTGATAAACCTCTTTTGTATGAATCTGATTTTATGATGTGTGTCCAAGATTTTTTCCCTTCATTCAAAATTAAAACTATGACTAGAAGGGAATGGTGTATGTTAAGGCGAATGATGGGTAAGCCTCGAAGATGTTCTCAAAATTTTTTTGATGAGGAAATTCGTGAATTAGATAGAAGAAGAAAAAAAATCAGACTATTACAACAAAGAAAAGCTAGAGATGAGTTATTGTTCAAAGATATACCGGATGAAATACCTTTACAGCTAACTGTGGGTACTAAAGTTACAGCTATGTTACGTAGTAATGCTGAAGATGGTCTATACAATGGTACTATTGAAGCTTTAGATGTTTCTAATAATACTTATAGAATACATTTTGATAAACCTGGTTTAGGCACACATTCAGTTCCAGATTATGAGGTTTGTTCAAATCAGCCACCAGAAACAATTTCTAAAAATTTGTTATTTCAAATGTGTAGACCAAGAATGCCATATCGTTCTATATCACCTGAAACTAATATAGAATCTATAAAAACAGACAAGAATATTGTACCTAATTATTCAATGAAACTTTTAGAATCAACTGTAAAATTTAGAAAAATTTTAACCGCTAAGAAACAGTATGTACAAACATTACGTAATTTAAATTCAGAAGCAGAGAGAATGACTTTATATAATGAAGAAATAACACAGGATTTTCAAAGTCGTTATGCAAAAATTGTTTTAGATTTAGATAATTTAAATTTGCATTTAACTTCAGTAATGTGTGTTCTAAGTGAAGAAATTAAAGTATTAGCCCCCGAAGAAGCTGAAACATGGCCATTAATTACAGATTATTTGCAAAATCAATCTTTTGATGAAGCTGAACAAATGATAGAGCATAATAAAGAAGTAACAGAGTCACACTTTGTATCAGAGGATCAGCCAATGTTAGCACTAATTAAAGATTTATTAGCACTCATGCTTCAAGTAAAAACATTAACTGAAAATGAACCTACTGCTTATGAATTAGATGCTTTAAAAAGAACTATGGTTGAGATAAAACTTAAACTTAGTCAGTCTAATCAAAAGTCATTTGAAAACTGTGTAGAAATTCATATGCAACAAATTCAGTCTAGCTTAGATACATATCACACTTTATCTTCTGCCACTAAAAAGTAATTATTGTTACTTTTTGTTTAAGAGAAGTATGAGCAAATAAATAAACATTGATGAAATATATATATATATATATATGTTAATTTATAGTAACATTACTTTAAAGATACTAAAAAGTTCACACTTGAATTGAATTCAATTAAAACTACTTATAGTGATTGATTTCACAATGATAATATTTAATTTTACTGCAAACAACCATAATTAGCTAGCATCATTATTCTAATAACAGTGTGATATTATTATACATAGATTTAATTTAAGGTAATTCTGTTATTTTTATAAATCCCTTAAAAAAAAAATGAATACTAGTTATAATTTATCATCAATGTTTATTATTTGTTTAAGTAATATTATTGACTTTTGTCGTTATACTATTGTATTAGAAATATCCTATAGTATACTTAAGAAGGATAGTACATTATACTTATATATTTACCACTTTTGGAGAAAAATATTAATTGTAATTTTGTACATTTGTGTGAATTCTCTTTTTTTTTTCTATAGTTAATAGCTTAATTATAAATATTTTTCTTAATTTATTAAGATATTTTATTTATCTAAATGTAAATAATTGTAAATGTATTTATTAAATGTAATTTAGATAAATTAAAAAAAAATTTAATTATGAGATTTCCTGTTATTCTACTTAAACATGATTGTTAGGTGTCTTAGGTCATATTATAAACAAAATCATATTTCAGAAAATATTTTACTAAAATTGACATTTTATAAACGACTTTTTTTGTAAATTTCTTAAAATTTAGTACTTTTAATATACTGTTTATTAATTCAATAATAAATATTGATTTAATCCATAATAATATTCAGTAAAAACTTTATATTTATTAAATGAATTTATATACTTCATTTTTATGTACAGTTTGGTTGGTACTATAGTGGAAAAGTAAAAAATCAAAATAACATTTGTTTTATTTTGTTAATTAACTTTAGTACAGTATAATATATTATATACATAATTATAACAACATAATAATATTATGTTCTATTAGTTGTCCCATTGAGTAAATAAAAATAAAGCTGGGCATTTGTATAAACCATAAAACTAATAAATCATTTTTTTCCTATTTGATGATACAGAATACAAGCTCATTTATTGTTATCATTTTTTTTGGCATGCTATACATTTTTATGTTATAATAAACATTTTGTGTAAAATCTTTAACATATTTATTACTATTTTTTAGTTGTGAAACAAAATTGAATTTTTTTTTTTAGTACACTTACTTAATTGATGTAAATAAGTAATTTTTAAAATTTTTATTTTATTTCCAAGTTTAATTAAAAATGACCTATTTATAAAATCATCTGTACTATAATATAACATTTTTTATTTAGTGTAAAATAATATTAAATTATTGATTATTTTAGAATAAATATTAAATTGTAGTGAAGATAACAAATTAGTGTATAGTATAAAATACCATAGCTTTATGGGTAAATGTTAGCTCAATGTATTAATATGATGTTATAAGTATACTTTATAAAATTATTTAAATTTTAATGATGTGTAATAATATGTGTGAATAAAATCTTTAAAACAATATAGTTTTTAAAACTTGTTTATTTAAAATGTATGACTCTATATATATAGTATACTCAAAATCATCATAAATGCCTAATGCATTGTTGTCATGGCAATACGATTATTTAAACAAACATTTAAATTTACAACTTTATCATATTTGTCATTAAATTAATATCATTATTTAAATTTTTAATTAAACTATCTAACCACAAATTGTAGCCGACATGGGCACAGTAAAAAATGATCAATTAATGGTATTAGAACCAAATAATCCTATAATGATAAGATTTCAAAAGGCTCTTAATCAACATTTATTGAAACAAAAATTAAATTTAGAACAAGAAATATTGTCTCTGGTAAAAAAAATTTTTATTTTTTGAAAATTTTTTTAGTATAAAGTATAATTTAATGTAGAAAGGAAATGTTAAAACTAATCAAGATAATAAACTATTACTTGAAAACAAAATAAATGTTTTGGTTCGTCAAAATGAGGCACATAAAGTAACATTAGATACATTACATAAACTTAAAATAGAAATAAAAATGGCAAAAGAACAAGTTGATAATCATATTGATAAAGGGAAACAACGATTTTTAGATGTTGATAGAAAAATTACAGAGCAAAATAAAAATAGTAAGAACTACAAATTTTATTAAATATAATATTTTAATTCATATTAATTGTTAATAAAGTTTTAGATTTAAAAAGACAGTTAGACTCTAGTAGGACACTTTTTAATGAATTATTAAAATATGAAAAAGATCAAGAAACAACATTTATTTTGTGTAACCAAAAAGAATCTCATATTAAGCATCACAAAAAAAAAATATTAAATGAACAGCAAAACCAGGTACTACTTAAATTTTTTAAAATATTTATGAAAACAATTTTACTAAAATAAATAATATTGTTTATTATTATTTTTATTAGAATCTATTATTACTTTCTTTGACTCAAGAAATAATACATTTAGAGGACCGTATTAAAGAGCTTGGAGAACAAGCAGAGACTAAATTTAATGAAAGACAAATTTTGAATCAAAGAGTGATGGATAGCTCTATTGATCTTGATACCATTAATACAGACAATACAAAAATTGCTTTACTATGGAAAGGAGTTTTAACCAGCATTCAACAAAGCGATAAAACATTTCACAAAATAAAAAATGACTTACAGTTATAGTTTAACTTTTTTTTTTTTAAAGTTGAGCATTTAAAATATCAATATTATAATTATTTTTATAGGGAAGCAAAAAATCAAAACTTAATTCTGATAATGGAAGCAAATAGTTATAAAAAAAGTTCACAAAATGAATTTAAAAAAAATGAGGACCTTATAAGTAACCTAAATAAGTTAAAACAAGAACAAATTAATATGCAGCAGAATTATAATAATCATACTAATCAACTAAACAATTTAAGTGATGAACATTCCAAACTTTTACAAATGTTAGAGTTTCAAAGTCAAAATTTAAGTGAACTATTATCTGTGAGATATAATAAATATTGAATTTTCAGTGTGCTATTAACTTATACTAATAAAATATCTATTTAACATAATTTTAGGAACAAAAATCATTGCAAAATGAAATTAATGTTTTAGTGAACTCACTAGAACTAAAGTCTAAAAAAAAATTGAAGATAGAAGATGAAATTGTGCATGATTTAAAAAAACAAATGCTTACTAATAATAGTTGTATTAACATAAATAACAAAATCAGTGAAATAAAAACACAGAATAAAAAACATGTAATTAAAACTTTATTAATTAAAAAAATTAAAAAAAAAAAAATTAATTTTATATTTTTGTGTAGGAGCTAATGTTGATTCAAACTGAAAACAATCTTTCTCAAACATTACTAAAAGCAGAACAATATCGTATAGTAATATTGAATTTAGAAAGAGATATAGAAGAAAATACTAAAACTATGAAGGAAAAAAGTAATTTAATTTTTGACTTGGAAACTGAACTAAATAAATTACTCTGTGATATTCAACAAAAATCAAGGCAAATTGATATAGAAACAAAAAATTTAGAAACTGTAAGGAAAAAACAAGATGTAAGTAAAAATTCTGATAAATTACAAAGTACATATTTGATCATTAAGTAAGAATATTGTTACTGTAATAATTTAAGAATATATAGGAATATCCCAGAGTTTTTAGCCCCATATAACTCTATTGCATAAACTAAATATTTTGATTCATTTGGAGTTAATGAAGTAAATTTTAAAATTTGGAAATATTTTTTAAGTAATTAAAAAAAATCATATAATGTATAAAATGATGTATGACCCCCAATGTAAATAAATATAGCAATAAAAAATATCTTCTACTTAATAACTTCTAATTTATGCATGGATACATTTTACAACAGGAGGGAAATTTAAAGACACCTCAAGCTCAAATAGTACAAGTTAAGAAAAAATTGGAAGATATAAATAATAACATAGATTTTCTTAAAGAAACTTGGATTAAAAAACAAAATAATAATGTACAGATGACTCAACAAAGAAATGAATTAATGAATAAAATTAATAAATTGAAAAAATGTAAGTACACTGTAAGCTTACTTATTTTAAGTAGAATATTTCAAAATAAAAATATTATCATAAAGAATAACTTAAATTAAATGCTGTAAAGGAGACAGGAGAGTTCTTATAAATAATATTTACATGCATCAATAACTATTATTTGATTTAGTTTTACACAAAAAATTATTTCTTACTTGTAACTTGGAATTTATTTATATTAATTTTTTTAATGAAAAACTTTGTAAATTATTTGAATTTATAGTTTATAGCTTTATATTTTTATTTCCTATTGTACTAATCGGCATATATTTTGATCATCTAATAAACATTTATTAATGTTTAAATTTTTTATAAGTTAAATGCTAGTTAGGATTTTTTTAAAGCATTTTATATATTATCTTTATAGATAATATTGTGGCGGATGCAAAAAATTTTAAGTTGAAACAAGAAATAATAAGTTTAAGTAAAGGAATTGACCATTATAAAAGAAATTTTACACATTTGAGAAATGCTATTTTAAAATATAGTCAAAATATAAGCAACACGAAGGGAAAGACTAATTTTCTATCAATTGAAAATGAATGGTTACAAAATAAATCTGTTGTAGAATTAAAGGTGAATGAATTCAATAATTTAATTTTTATAATTTTTTTAAGTTGTGTTATAAATTAAAATTACAATTGAAAAGTGAAATATTATTTTTGTTGGATTTAGGAAAATGAAAGAGAATGTTTAGAATATGCTGATCAATTAAAATCCATAAAAAATGAATTAGATGAAACACAAAATAAATACATAAAAAAGCAACAAGAACTCATAACTTGGGAAGTTAAAATTAAGCAAATTATTGAAATGAAAAAGGAGATTGTTAATAAAGAAGGGGATATAGGAGACATTGATGCAATGAAAAACGAAATACATAGAATGCAGGTACAAATTAGATTTATTTATGAACCTTTTTTCTTAATATTACATGTCATGTTATATTAAATAGATAAGGGAAAGTCAATTAAAGAAAACTTTAAAAAAAATAATGTTTGATTTGGAAGGTTGTATTTCTAAAAGGGAAACTATTTACAATACTGTAGCTGCCAAGGAAAGTCGAATAAAAGGAAAAAGTGAAACTAAACAAAGACTATTTAAAAAAATTAATGATTTACGATTAAGTATACAAAAAAGTAAAATTGTAAGTTGATATTTAAATATTTAAATATTTAAATATTATATTTTAAAAAAGAACAGGAAAAGTACATTTTATGTCTATATGCACGAGTCAATGAAAATGAATCCTATTTCATAATTTATTTACTTATTTCTAATTTTTATAAATAATTTGTATTTAAAATCATCATTAATATTTATTTTGTAGTATATTGTTTAAGTAAGATTTTAACTATAGTTTTGAAACAAGATGCAAGTAGTGTTAATTGTATAAGTCTAGTTTCTATACTTGTCAATTGTTTTCTAAAAATTGCTAAATCATAACAATAGGGTTATAAAATAATTAAAGATATACATAGAAAAGGATATTCTCTGTCATCAGCCAAGAAACAACAAATTAATTTTATCAAGTGAAATTTTTTGATACATTAAAAAAATTTATTTTTACTAACATATATAATAATAAAAGTATTTTCTCATTTTAATACTAAATAAAATGTAAAATGTGTTAAAGCTTTTATGAATTGTCTTGTTGCTTGAAATTCTTAAGGATGTATTCATGTTTACAGTTGAGTTCTGATGTTTCGGACTCATTGGAGAGTACCTTAAGCACTTCAAGTAATAAAATTTACTTATAAATTTCTGCAAATAGCTTCAGATATTGTCTTTAGTAGTCACGAATAGTTCCATGATGAAAGGGTGTAATTAATGAGAGGGTGGATTTGAATTCTTCCAAAATTTAAACAATTTAAATATAATTTTTAGGAAATATGAAATTTCTTGTGTATATCTTCACTCCATAGGGACCATTTAAATAAAAATCTTGGGGCTAATAATAATTATACCCTACCTAAAAAAAAATTCTTACATCACATTATGTATACTTTTCTTGATTTTTAGTGAGGCTTAGCCTTCAAAGCATTTCCCTAATTTCACTAATGATTTATTCTAGAACAAAATCTTTGATCTATATGATTTTTACAACAAAATCTATTTAAAAAAATTAAATAAGTATTTCTCAAAAAAGTGGGATCTGATATATTTTCTCCAATTCTTTCATATATTTTATTTCAGAAAATTGATTTTAAAATTATTAAATGTGGAATTTTAGGAGTGTAAAAATGTAGAAATAAATGTGAATATTATACAAAAAGAAAAAGACGAATTAGAAAGTCAATATTATACATTAAGTCAAGAATTAAGCCAGATAAAGAAAAATTTTGGAGATATTATACAAGAATTTGAAAATGCTAATGGAATTAAAATTAGAGTTTGTATTAGAATATTGTTTAAATTAAGAAAAAAAATATTGAACCACTTGAAGGAAGATTGAAAACTAACTAAAGTTTATCTATTTACCAAAACAAAGAGTGTGACCTATTATTTCATAATTAAATGTTATTTATGTATTTTTTAGCTTCGATGTGAAGCTGAGAAGGTATTAATTTTACTATGAGGAGGTTTTTTTTTGTGTGCCGTTTACCACTTTTTCTCAGCTCTTACCGAACTGATTTCATTCAACAATACATCAAAATATAAATCGTAAGACATTACCCTCAAAAACTGAAAAAATTTTCCCTCGTTCCTGTAAATGGGAAAATGTACAAAAAAATTACAAATTAAAAATTAGTAATTTTTGACATTTTTTCAATTTTTTTCTTAAAACTACCATAATATTTTGAAAAATACATGAATAGAAATAATTTTTTTTAATAGATATATTAGATATTTACACATCATTTGGTGTGTTTTTTTTTTATCTGACTCTGCACCTACTCATAGGGGGGATTCAAAATGAAAACTTTTTCAAAATTAACTTTTGAAAGTGTTCCGGAAATACTGACACTTTTATATACATCTTAAATTAAAGTTTATGTAGCATACTTTAGTATAAAAACAAAAAAATTTAAACTTAAGTTTGTCTTAATGGTAAAAATCTCTGTAGTATTCAAAAATATACTATTTTTATGTTATAATACTCGGTTTTGTATTTTATTTTATTTTAAAATAATTTACAAAGGTTTTTTAGTAACAAAAAATGTTTAAATCCTTTAATTTTATCTAATTTAGATTCAATTACGATTCAATTAAGATAATAAGAATATCAAAGATCCCATCATTGTAGTCTCCCTTCGTGAGAAGAAATTTCTTATTCATATTAAAATGATTTTACTATGTGGTTTTTTTTGTGGCTGTCATTTTCTCAGCTCTTACTTGACCATTTTTTTAACGATACATGAAATAATAACAACTATTATCTAGTTAAATATATTACCCTCAAAAATCGAAAAAAAAATCCCCTTTGTCAATTAAAAAGTTTCTTAACTATCTTTCCCCATATAGACAATTAAAATCATCCATTTATAATAATTTTAAAATATTTATTGTCGAATTAGGTTTGATATGATAATAGGTTTCAACTACAAAATTAAATAATTTTTTTTTGTAATTAATTTTTTAACTTTATTAGTGTGTATTACTACCAGTCTATAACATTCCAATTTTATTTGGTAACATGTTGCTATATAAATCATAAATCTAGAAAAAAAATTATTTTAGTTTCACCTGAATTTAACAATGGATTTTTACAATTATAATCAAATTTTATAATACGCTCAATTGAGTAGATTTTCTTAACAATATTTTTATTGGTTTTTTTTAGTTAAATTTAATCATTATTATTAATTAAGTTCTGAATATTTCAATTTTATAATCTTTTTGAACACCAAAAGTTACTTAGAAATTATTACTGTGATTTCTATTTAAGTGATCTATTACGATAAAAATTCAAGAAAAAATAGTAGTAGTAACAAAAGATTTTAGAGTAAAAGTAGGAGTGCACCAAGGATCTGCTTTAAGCCCTTACTTGTTTTCTATAGTGTGTTGAATGAAAGTACTAGAGAATACAAGGAAAGGTGCCGTGATGCATGTTGTTTGCCGACGATATAGTGTTAATAGGAGAAAATAAGGAGGAAATTAATCAAAGACTAGAGGTGTGGAGATTAGTTTTAGAAGGAAAGAAATTAAGAATAAGTATGAGTAAGTAAGAGTATATAGAGTATGAGTTTGACAAAGGAAGTAAATGAAATTAAGAGATCAATGACAATAAGTGTGGTCGAGATAAGAGAGATGGAAAGTTCTAAGTATTTAAGATCAGTTGTGCAAAAGAGCAGTGGTATTCAATTGGAGAGAAGTGTCTGGTGTGTTATGCGATAAAAGAATTCCAATGAGACTGAAAGGTAAATTCTATAAGACTCTAGTTATACCAGCTATGTTGTATGATTCAAAGTGTTGGGCAGTTGACAAGAAAGTAGAGCAGAGAATGAGTATAGCAGAGATGAGAATGCTTAGATGGATGAGTGGAGTGACTAGAGAAGATAGGATAAGGAACGAGCATATAAGAGGAAGTAAAGATGTTGCGTCAATCGTGGATAAGATGAGAGAAAATAGACTTAGATGGTTTGGTCGTGTTATGAGGAGAGAGGAATTAGAAGCTGTAAAAACAGTTATAGAAATGAATGTTGAAGGAAGAGAGGTAGAAAAGAGATCAAGAGAAAAAGAGATGGAGGGATGTAACTGAATGGCATATGAGGATGGCTGATGTGAGTGATCGTGTCAAGTGGAAGTTTAGGATAAGGATGGGCGATCTCAAGTAGTTGGGATTAAAGCGAGGAAAAAGAAGAAGACTAATCAAGATATAATTAAGGAAATAGGATTTCATGTTGCTTTTGTAATTATGCATCAATTTCTTAGAATTAAACACTTTACAGATTTTCATCGAATCGCGTTTCTTATGACAGTGATTAAAATCACTGTCACATATCATTTATACTTGTCCCAACTATCCCAAGTCCATACTGTGCTACGCTTTTTTTGGTACAGATTTTATGGTGTTTAAGATAGATTAATGTATAGGGTAAATTCATGCCAAATCATCCAGAAGTGGTTTTTGACCATATCATTTTTTTCTTAAATTTTCAGGATTTATTCTTTATGCTGTAATATTTATTCTATCTTTATTACAAATACTACAATTTAACATTTATAATAATTAATAATTCTTTAATATTAAAAATGTGATATAAATATATAAAAAAATACAATTACAAATACTAAGTGTTGTCGGATTGATGGACACCGCGAGACTAAACATAATACATTTGATATCATAATACAATAGAGTGTTATCGTATTGTTTTGCAGTGTAAACTTACGATAAATATAAAAATATTTATTTTGCACATGTTATCTTAGATTTTAGTTAATCCCTACAATGCTATAATTAGATTAAAAAAAAAATTTTTATGACCTTTCTATTTTTATGGCTATTTCAATTTTGCGATGAAAAAATTAAAGGCATAAAATACATAAATATACCTACTTTAGGAATAAAACAAAACGAAAAACGTCTAATATGAGATTTAAATTGTGTAAAACTATTAAAAGGGGAAATACGGAAAAACACAGATTTTTACCAATTAATAACTGTACCATAAGAAGCCTTAAGATATCATTAACTGATATTTATGAAAACAGAATATTTTAAGCACTAGAAAAAAACCATGATTATTTATTATAATATTTTACAATATTATCATAATAATTTAATTTTTTATTTTGTAACTAATTTAATGAATTGAATAATTATAACATTTAATAATTATATCGAATCGTAATATATGACTTATACAATAATATATAAAACAATTACAAAAATGTTGTTTGAAAACAACAAAAAACTATCATTAAATTATTTGATTTTGAACGGATTTTTACTGATTTTCTAATACTAAATTTTACATATTACACTTTTTTCTTAAACTTAAAATTTGTATGGTGGATTAAGCAGATAAGTAACTAAAAAATTAAAACATTTTTTGAAATTAAGTCCCCCAACAGAAATAATGCACCTACAATACGTGTATTTTTTACAAAATTTCTAATTTTGTAGGCCTCTAAATACCAAGAAAATTGTTTTAAAAATTTGAAATTTAGTTGAAACATAGATTATACACTATACAATGCCAATTTAAAAATCAATATAAAATAATAACTTCTTAATGGTTTTCAGTGAGCCATAAACGCCAATTTTCACCAAAAATTCGCCATTTTTAGAAAGTCATTTAAGTTTAGAATTTCACATAAATTTTTTTTTTTCGTGTAAACATTAAGTTATAATAAGGTTAAGTCTAAAATTATAAATAGGTTAAGTCAATATTGAATAATCTGTGTGTTTCTTAACGTTCTGGCTATTTTTAAAATTTTTGACATTGAAGAAATAGCCATAAAAATGGAAAGGTCATAAAAAAAAATTGTCTTAATCTAATTATAACATAAATAATAAACCATGAAAATTTAAGAAAAAAATGAGGTGTTCATACAACCACCTTTAGATGATTTGGTATGGATTGACTCTATATAATTCAGTCAGATAACTTATGGTTAGCTTCTAATTAAGATTCCCCTGTTGATTACAATTTCTAACTTTTTTATTATGTAGTATTATTATGTAATATAATTTATGTAACCATACAGTTTCACTTTACATGAAATGAAAATATTTTTACTAAATTTGGATTATTTATAATTATTACTTGTTTTTTTCTTTTTTCATGAAAAATATATATATAAATTTGTTATGTTGAGACAGAAATTGTAATATTATAAACTTTCAAGAAATTAGTTTCTTGAATTTAGTTAGATGTTTCAACAGTTTACTCTTCTTTTTCCTTGCCTTATCCAAACTACTTGGGGTCGGCTAACTGCTACAATATTTTACTACTTTTAATATTATTTTTTTTATTTAAACGTAAAACAAAATTAATATTTGTTTTTTTCTAAAATTGTTTAAAATTGGACTCAGTTAGTTAGTTGCTGCATAAAGTCTTTTCAATATTTATTCTATTTTTTTTTTTGAAAAAATTAGTAATAGTTCATTAAATTATAAAATATCAGATTGTTTTCAAGCTTTCTATGTTTCTCATATTACTTTATTCATATGTGATAAAAATTAAACTTTTATTCAAATTTCTGAATATTAGAATATTGAACATCTCAGTCACAAACAAAGTTATGCTAGACATTTAGATTCAGTTAAACAAGGAAAATATAGTTTATTAATTAAAGATGAGTTCAGAATTGATGAAGAATCATCTGCTGCTTGGAAGAAAAACCAAGATATTCTATGTGTGGTTGAAGCTTTGAAAAATGACTTTCCAAATTTGGATGATAAATTTTTGCGTATAATCAATATCCTTTCAATAGTAATTAAATAAATAATATTGATGACATGCAAAAAATAATTATAGTTATCTTTGAACAATTTGCTTTTATAAAAAATTAATTTTATATAAATTTTGCAGTGAGTTACTAATTCTTTAATTAGATTATTATTTGTCATTAAAATCTTAACACTTAGTATGTTGAGAGCTATTTAGTTTAATTATTGCTATCATACAAAAAGTGATCTGAGGATAATTTTATTATTTATTTATTGTAATTAAAATTGGAGATTTAAAAAATGTTTAAAAATTAAAATTTAAAATAAATGGTTTTTCTATTTTTATGTAAGAATGTCATTTTTATTATACAAAGCATACATTTGCATACCATATTACATATATTTTTTAGCCGCTTAGATCTTGAGTGACTAACACCCCTCATTATCTACTAATTTTCTAAAAGAAATGGTGGTCTATGTGTAACAAAAAAACAATTTAATAACTTTCTTTGTTTTATGTAAGGTTTATTTTTAAAATTATTCTTAATCTTTTTGAAGAATTTTAAGAAAAATGTATAATAACTTTATTAGTTTTTACACGAAAAAGGAATATATTAAATATACTTGTTAAGTATATTTCATTATATTATTATGTTATAGTATTGTTAAAACAATATGTGTAATTAAATGTCAAATTGTGCAATGTTGTGTAGCGACCAAAACATACGCAACGAATATTCTCGAATGTTCTCGTTATCAAAAACCTTCGAGAAACTTCGATAACGCCATAGATAACCTACGCGGGTATAGAATATTCTAGAATTAGCGAGAGCCTTATCGGAGCTATATATATATCGGAAGAATCAGTCAGTTTAGTTAGTTCAGTTCAGACTGTCTAGTCCGCGATACGCTACACGACCGCTACACCCCGCCGCTGTTGTCATCGTGTATTATGTTTACTTCGATTATTTTATTTTTCCTTACTGTATATACATATATTTTCTTTTAGTGTTTATACGTCTATTTTAGTGTTATAATTTTGTTTAATAAAAGTCTACCGCCATTTAAATAATTGTGTGTTGTAAGATATAACCCACAAATTGGTGACCTCGACGTGATGGCGCAGACAGACGAAACAATTGCTCGAGTAGCCGTCAAGATACCGGATTTCATTTCGTCAGATCCCGAACTTTGGTTTGCTATGGTCGAAGGAAGTTTCGCCAGCGCGGGAGTCACTGTTGACAGTACAAAATTCGGGTATGTAGTTGGAGCATTACCGCCAAAATACGCAGTGGAAGTCAAGGACATAATTATGACGCCGCCCTCAGACAGTAAGTACGCCAAAATTAAACAAGAGTTGATAAGACGTCTTAGTGCCTCCCAAGAGGAGAAAACACGCCAACTTTTAGAACGCGTTGAGATTGGAGACCGTAAACCATCACAATTTTTACGCCATCTCCAAAGTCTGGCCGACTCTTCTGTTCCGGAAACGTTATTGAAGACACTTTGGATGGGCCGTTTACCGAAAAGTATACAGGTAGCGTTGGCAATAGTGAAAGATAGTAAGCTTGAAGATCTCGCTGTCCATGCGGACAACATCGCAGACGCATCGGGTCCTTTACTACCACAAATAGCAGAAATGTCGAGAAGTGACACTTTTGAAGCCATGTTGAATCTTAAGATTTCTCAACTTAGTCTAAATATTAATCAGGAGATTGCAGCGTTGAGAAGTGAAGTGGCTGCGTTAAATACTCGCCCCTCGCGTACTCCGGACTCAAGACCAAATACTTACCGTCCAAGGTCACGATCTCGAAGCCGCACTCATCATGGCGCAGACGGAATATGCTGGTATCATTGGCGTTATGGATCCCAATCGAAAAAATGCAAGGAACCTTGTAACTATAAATCGGGAAACGGGACGGGTCATCACTGATGACGGCCAGTGAGCCCGGTCAGTTTCCACGCCGTCTTTTCATCACAGACCGAACTTCCCAAACTCAATTTCTCATCGATACGGGCGCCGACTTGTGTGTTTATCCACGTAGTGCTGTTCCAGGCCACCGCGTAAAAACCGATTACGTCCTATCAGCCGCCAATGGCACGCCTATAAACACCTACGGCACTATCACGCTCAGCCTAAACTTCGGACTTCGTCGAGATTTCACTTGGAGATTTGTGATTGCGGAAGTATCCAAGCCCATCATTGGTGTTGACTTTTTAAGTTTTTACAATCTTTTGGTAGACGTGCGCAATCAATGTCTATTAGACGGACTTACACAACTCACCACTCGTGGTCACGCCGTCAAGTGCTCAATACCATCTATTAAGGTCGTCGTGGGAGAGACGAAATACGACGGTTTACTACGGGAATTTCCAGAGATCACTCGACCGTTTGGGACCCTGAAGGATATCAAACACAGCACTAAACACTTTATCCCGACGACACAAGGACCCCCGGTATCTTGTAAACCACGACGCTTAGCACCTGATAAGCTTAAGGCAGCAAAAAAAGAGTTTGAAGCTATGATCCAACTAGGCATTATCCGACCATCCCAAGGACCTTGGTCATCACCATTACATCTAGTACCAAAGAACAAAACAGATGCATGGCGTCCTTGTGGGGATTACCGCGCTCTAAATGCCCGGACTATCCCAGATCGGTACCCTGTTCGTCATATACAGGACTTCGCGCACTTTCTCCACGGTAAAACGATTTTTTCAACTATCGACTTGGTTCGAGCGTATAATCAAATCCCTGTAGCTGAAGAAGACGTCCCTAAAACTGCAATTGTGACACCATTTGGACTTTACGAATTCCTCTTTATGTCTTTTGGACTTCGAAACGCAGCACAATCGTTCCAACGATTTATTGACGAAGTACTCCGTGGACTTGATTTTTGTTTCAGTTACATTGACGACATACTCGTGGCATCTGTTTCTGAAGAAGAACACATCAAACATTTACAGATCATTTTTGAGCGACTACGCGAATACTCTCTGGTTCTCAATCCTAAAAAATGCGTTTTTGGACAACCAGAAGTAAAGTTTTTGGGCTACATGATTTCTAAAGAAGGAACACGTCCTCTACCTGATAGAGTCGCTGACATATTGAGCTACAAGAGGCCAACGTCAGCTAAGGGTCTACGACAGTTCTTAGGTATGTTAAACTTCTATCGTCGTTTTATACCTAGAGCTTCAGATGCACAATCACCACTAAGTGATCTCTTAGTACCTAATCTAAAAGGTAAAGCACCTATTAATTGGACACCAGAAGCAATTTCAGCGTTCGAGAAATGCAAGGAGGAACTCGCCACAGCCACGCTTCTCGCGCACCCATGTGACAACGCTCGACTGGCTATTGTAAGCGACGCTTCAAACACAGCGGTTGGCGCAACTCTCCAACAGTTCATCAATGACGAGTGGCAACCCCTCGCCTTCTTTTCCAAGAAACTCACGGCGACTGAGACAAAATACGGAGCTTACGATCGAGAACTTCTTGCGATCTATCTCGCTGTCAAACATTTTCGGCATATGGTGGAAGGACGCGAGTTTGTTATATACACCGATCACAAACCTATCACTTTCGCATTTCAACAGAAATCGGATAAGTGCACACCACGACAATTCAGACACTTGGACTTTATTTCACAATTCACCACGGATATTAGGTACGTTCCTGGTAAACAGAATATCGTGGCTGATACCCTATCACGCGTGGACGCATTATCAGACACGTTAGACTACACTGCTTTAGCAATGTCACAACAGGGAGACGACGAATTGAAAAAGTATGCACAAGAAAACACCGGATTGCGACTTAAGCAAGTGGAATTACCAGGCACGAATGTCTTAGTGTTCTGCGACACATCAACTTCAATCGCCAGACCTTTTGTTACAAAGCCTTTTCGACGAACAGTTTTCAATACCATACATCGCCTTGCACATCCAGGAGTTAAAGCCACAGTGAAGCTTGTAAAACAGCGGTTTGTGTGGCCAGGAATTGACGCAGATTGCAGACATTGGGCACGGGCATGTGTCGAATGTCAACGAGCCAAAATCACGCGACATGTCACAGCACCCCTTGGGTCATTTTCTCTACCGTCTCGAAGATTTGAGCATGTTCATTTAGATTTAATAATTATGCCTTATTCCGAAGGATTTCGTTACTGCCTCACGTGCATCGATAGATTTACTCGATGGCCTGAAGTAGTTCCATTGGAAAATCAAGAAGCGGAAACTGTAGCACGAGCCTTCTATACACATTGGATTGCAAGATTTGGTACCCCTCTTCGTATCACAACAGATCAAGGAAGACAATTCGAGTCATGCCTTTTCAAGCAACTTAATTACCTGACTGGTACGAACCATCTTAGAACTACGGCCTATCATCCTTCAGCAAATGGCATGGTGGAACGATCCCATCGGCAGCTTAAAGCCGCTATTAAATGTCATCAGAATAATCGATGGACAGAAACTCTTCCGACAGTCTTATTGGGTATCCGAGCAGCTTGGCGTGACGATCTTAAATCCACCTCGGCAGAATTAGTCTATGGAGAGCCACTTAGACTCCCTGGTGAATTCCTCACGTCAAATAATAATACCGCCAAGTGCGACGACGCAGCTGAGTTTATCAAAGACCTTCGACATCACATTCAGCAGATCCGACCAGTCAATGGTACACGACATGGCGAGAAGAAAAATTTCGTTTTCAAGGATCTAGCAACCACAGAGTACGTATTCATTCGACATGATGGGCCCAAAAACGGAATTCAAATGCCCTATGATGGTCCCTATCGAGTCATAAGTAGGAACGAAAAAACTTTTGTTATTGATATTAATAAGAAGAAAGTTACAGTTACTATAGATAGACTTAAACCAGCATACATCATGGCAGATGAATACTCTAAGGAAAATATTCCGAAAAAGATCCAGACACATACACCCATTACCATTCCCAGGGAGGATCAAAGGACACGTTCCGGAAGAAGAGTCCATTTTCCAGACCGTCTTCAAGTAGGCTCCGCTTGACTCCGTCACTGGTAGGGGAGTGATGTAGCGACCAAAACATACGCAACGAATATTCTCGAATGTTCTCGTTATCAAAAACCTTCGAGAAACTTCGATAACGCCATAAGATAACCTACGCGGGTATAGAATATTCTAGAATTAGCGAGAGCCTTATCGGAGCTATATATATATCGGAAGAATCAGTCAGTTTAGTTAGTTCAGTTCAGACTGTCTAGTCCGCGATACGCTACACGACCGCTACACCCCGCCGCTGTT